GCATTGTTTTTGACAACATTAAGTCTAAGACACTGACATAAACAAAAAAAATAAAAGAATAAAATAAAATGTATTTTAGGAATGTATGTAAATCAAATCTGGGGTACTATAGAGTATATGTGAGCTCATTGATTGATCACAGGATTAGAAATAAGATAAGAAACAAGACGGTCAATAGCAATCATACTCTACATAAGTACTGAATAGACAAAGGAGGAAATGAAAGAGCAAGTGAAGGTTAAAATGAGTAAGAGTAATGGGGAGAAATGCTGCAAGAAGAAGAGCAAAGAGTTAGCGAGGAGAATAACAAGACTTGCAGAAGATAACATGTTTGTCATGTACTGCTCCGAGACACGAAGATTGAGGATCCAAACGCAGTATTAATTGAAAGGGTAATCCACAATCAAAGTGCAAAAACAGGCAAAGGTCAAAACACAGGCAAAGAATCCAAACATATACCAGGACACGAACCCAGGCAGACCGGGTAAATCCAAGAAACAGGGTCAAAACCAGGGAACATATAATCAATGGCGCGCACAACAATGCAGTACGGACACTTACAAGACCTCACAATGAATGACAGAGTTGACCAGGCTTATATAGGATGAGCTAATGACGTTAATAAGACACAGCTGACAGCAATCACGGATGATGTGTCCGAGTAGTCCATGTGTGAATGGTACAGTATAAACTGGAGGGGACTTGAGGGGTGGACAAACAGGGCACTCCAGCAGGTGATTGTGACATGGCCCCTTTCCCAAGGAGCAGCTTCCAGACAGAGAGGTTAGGATTGGCCTCGAAGCAGACTGAAATCTCAGAGAGGACCTCCGTGGTCATATCAAGGAAGACAAGAAACTCTGGGACGACATTCATGGTTGCATTAGGACAGACAGGAAACTAAGTGATGACCTCCGTGGTTGCATCAGGGCAGACAGGGAGTTCATAGCGACACATGACTTGGCTCTGGCTGGGTCGGGCTCAGACTCATGGGCTAGGGTGGGCTCTGGATCAGACTCGTGGGGTCTGGATCAGACTCGTGGGCTGGAGCGGGCTCTGGAGCAGACTCATAGGTTCTGGATCAGACTCATGGAATAGGGCGGACTCTGGATCAGACTTGTGGGGTCTGGATCAGACTCATGGGCTGGAGCGGGCTCTGGAGCAGACTCATGGGCTCTGGATCAGACTCATGGGCTAGGGTGGGCTCTGAATCAGACTCGTGGGGTCTGGATCAGACTTGTGGGGTCTGGATCAGACTCATGGGCTGGAGTGGGCTCTGTAGCAGACATGGGCTGGGGCGGGCTCTGGATCAGACTCATGGGTTCTGAATCAGACTCATGGGCTGGGGCGAGCTCTGGATCAGACTCGTGGGTCTGGATCAGACTCATGGGCTGGAGTGGGCTCTATAGCAGACTCATGGGCTGGAGCGTACTCTGGATCAGACTCATGGGTTCTGGATCAGACTCATGGGCTGGAGTGGGCTTTGGATCAGACTTGTTGGGTCTGGATCAGACTCGTGGGTTGGAACGGGCTCTGTAGCAGACTTATGGGCTTGATCGGGCTCTGGAACAGACTCATGGGCTGGAGTGGGCTTTGGATCAGACTCATGGGCTGGGGCGCGATCTGGATCAGACTTGTTGGGTCTGGATCAGAATCATAGGCTGGAGTGGGCTCTGTAGCAGACTTATGGGCTTGATTGGGCTCTGGAACAGACTCATGGGCTGGAGCGGGCTCTATAGCAGACTCATGGGCTGGAGCGTACTCTGGATCAGACTCATGGGTTCTGGATCAGACTCATGGGCTGGAGTGGGCTTTGGATAAGACTCATGGGCTGGGGCGGGATCTGAATCAGACTTGTTGGGTCTGGATCAGACTCATGGGCTGGAGTGGGCTCTGTAGCAGACTTATGGGCTTGATCGGGCTCTGGAACAGACTTATGGGCTGGAGTGGGCTCTATAGCAGACTCATGGGCTGGAGCGGGCTCTGGATCAGACTCATGGGTTCTGGATCAGACTCTTGGGCTGGAGTTGGCTTTGGATCAGACTCATGAGCTGGGGCGGGCTCTGGATCAGACTTGTTGGGTCTGGATCAGACTTATGGGCTGGAACGGGCTCTGTAGAAGACTTATGGGCTTGATCGGGCTCTGGAACAGACTCATGGGCTGGAGTGGGCTCTATAGCAGACTCATGGGTTCTGGATCAGACTCATGGGCTGGAGTGGGCTTTGGATCAGACTTATGGGCTGGGGCGGGCTCTGGATCAGACTCGTGGGGTATGGATCAGACTCATGGGCTGGAGGGGGCTCTGTAGCAGACTTATGGGCTTGAGCGGGTTCTGTATCAGATTCATGGGCTATAGCGGGCTCTGGATCAGACTCATATGCTGGAGTCTGAGTCTGTCTCTCATATGTTGTCGCTTTTGCTTCATCTAATACAAAAAACAATAATTACAATAAAGATGATAATTAAATGAATCAACTTTACTTCTGCACCTTTACCAACTGTATTTTTTCCAGCAATGCTGTAGAACACATGAAGCATTTCATTTAATTTAGTGGTGCATTGATAAAACTCATTGGTCAGAGTGTTAACGCGTGCAAATTGCGGGGGATTTGCAGACAATGAACACTTGCCAATCTGTTAGTATGAAAGAGCCAACAACGCACGAGGGGCGGCAGTGGCTCAGTGGCTCATGTAGGTTGTCTACAAACCAAAAGGTTGGTGATTCAATCCCAGGTTCCACCTGACCAAGTGTCGAGGTGTCCATGAGCAAGAGACCTAACCCCAGCTGCTCCCGATGAGCTGGATGGCGCCTTGTATGCCTGACACCGCCGTTGGTGTATGAATGAGTGTGTGAATGGGTGAATGTGAGGCAATATGTAAAGCGCTTGGTGGCCTTTAGGTCTATGAATACGCTATATAAATGCAGTCCATTTACCATTTTACCATTACGGTCGCAGACGCCTCGCAGACGCATCGCCGAGCCCAGAAAAATATCTAGCTAGATATCCAGAGCTGTCGTGTGACTTAACCTCAGTGATGTCATGAACTCCAGCCAATCAGAGCAAGGCATGGGTTGAGGTCACCGGGTAAATCTTATTTTTTCTTTTTTGCATTTTTTTCTCAGAGCAAATCATTGCCCAAACAGTTTGAAGCACTAGTTTCTGTCTAACGTCCATATTCGCGTGTTGTGTTCTTCTCTTCTTCACACGTGGGGTTCGCCTTATCACATGGTTTTTCGTGACAAAACGTGGTTTGCAGACAAGATAGAATTGTTGGGTGACAGAGTTGTTGTCAGCCCGTGTAGTGCGTTACCTCCTGTTGTGGAAGGCATTAGCTTTCAAACAAGATGGCTGATACTGATTTCAGTATCTGCAAGTGAAGTCCCACCCACTGATCTGTAATAGGTCTGTAGCATGAGAGGGTCACATCCCCTGGAATAATGAGGAGCTAATGTTTGTAGTCTCTACATTTTCAATGAAATGTGACTTTCTGCTTATTATGACGCACAATTACATTTTTTTTACGTCATAATAAGCAGGAAGTAAAACTCTTAAATCATTATTTTGCCCATCTCAGGGGAAATTAAGGGAATAAACCATAACCATTCAAAATATGACTGGGTTTCTAAAGATTCAAAGCTTAATGCAAATGGGTGAAGTGTCTCTTTAAGTAGACAGTCTATGAATGCTCCAATGAGAGATAGCTTACATAGAGGTTCAGATGTACTTACACTCAACAGAATGTCTAAAGGGGACCAAAATTAAGTGTTACCTTTCTTTTTTTGTAATCTTACAGAATGGGGTTCAGCGACAATTTTTTTTTCATAGACTGATTCAACAATACACTATCATTTAAGTGTCTCTACATACACTTGTCTATACAAACTCTGTGTATATTCATGCAATCAGTTTTGTTCAACATTTCACCCCAAATATTCCAGTGGACAGAAAGGCGCAGATGCTCCGGTGGGAATCCTGAGAGCTGCTTTTGACACAGGAAAAGAAGAGAGGCAAAAGAGAAAAATAACCTTGCCTTATACACTGCATCTTTACTTATGAATTTATCATGACCATGTCCATACAATACACTGGAATCTCAGCCTCCTTTAATATTTGAAGGTTTAATAATTCATATACTAAAATATGGTTTTCTTCACTCTCCAACTATCTCCTCTTAGCAGCACTCAAAGCAGTCCAACAGGAGGAGCGGTAAGTCAGCGGCAGGAAAGAGTTTAAAGTGGGACTAAAAGTCAGAGTGAATGTGTGTGAGTGTGTGTTTGACAGAAAGAAAGGGGAATACAAGAACTGCACATTTTGCCAAATAATTAGGTCACCTGCAACTTAAAAATTTAAAATGAATTAACTGGTAACACTTTAGTTTGATGTCCATTTCTCACTATTAACTAGCTCATGCAAAGTATTTTGACTGTTTATTGGTACTTATAAAGCGCATAATGCCTTATTCTGCATAACCATATTCTACATCCCTTACCTAAACTTAACAACTACCTTACTAACTAATTAGGTGTTTATTTAGGCAAAAATCATAGTTAATCGTGAGGACTTGACCCTAAAGTTTTACCATTAGCCTATAACTTTAATCTACATTTTTCACACTTTGCATCTGCAACTTGAAGGAGCAATTTGCAAAAATCACAAGAATAACACTCCATCGAGCATGATATGATATTGTTTACTACACATTCTCAGTCAAAACTAGATCATCTTAGGCATCAGAATAAAGTATACAGGCCGAAGCATAAATCTCAAAAGGATATATCTTCAGTATCTTGTTTACTAATTAAACAAACCAGTCTGCAGCTACAGAAAAGTCCAAATTCATATTTAAAGTATGTTGCAAGCTATATTTACCATACAAAATAAATACATCCTTTTAAAGCAATATCAGAGGAATAGCGCTTCACTCTGGTGAATAATCGTGTGATCAGCAGGAGAGGTTGACACACACACACACACACACACACACACACTGAGATGTGGGACGTGACTCCAGCGGACGCTCTTCACAGCTCTCTGTTCCCATAAAGTCATCGACTGCATGTTCAGTGATTTTTTTTTTTTTTCATATCTATTTATTAAAGAAAGTTTATTTCGTCTGGACATGTGACCTCGAAAAGGCCATTTTTGTGGTAGTTTGTGGGTAAATTCGCCGGATGCGTTGGACAAGTGCCATATGTTCTGTAGATACCATAATGTGAGTATACAATACATCTTCTTAGTAAATGCAGTTTAAGTTGTATTTATGTAATTATACTAATGTAAAAATGATTATGTTAATAATAATATTATTATTGATGGCTCATATGATTATCGACATAGAAAAATATAGGTCAGAAAATCAAGAGATCATTTACGAAATATGATAAAGGCTAGTTCACACTTCACAATTCATACTTTGAAATTGTTAAAAGAATTGAGTTCATAGATTATTGTAATTTGGATTACGTTGTTACTAATTTATATTTAATCTGTTAAATCTGAATTGTATTGTGTGATGATAGGGTAATTAAAATGAGCCTAGCTCATTTGTTGTCAGACCTGAGGAAAAGATTTTTGTTGATTTAATGTTACAGTAAAAGTTAAATATTCCTAACGCAGGCTCCCTTAGACGTGTGTGTTGTTGTTAACTGATGATGACCTTTAGATTTAGTTATATAAAGCTTTGCCAGTCATTTGTGCAAATGGGTGAGTTTATTTGGGTTTGAATGAGTCTCTGGCCTGAGGTAGCCTAAATCCAAATACTGTCATCAAATCTAAAAGTCTTATTGAGGGGCCCTTTCAGATTCACTTGTGTCAAGTTCCATTCTACATAGACAGCGACAGAGACAGGATTATTTGTAACAGTAAACAACACTGACTGACTATAATGCGTGGTCTAATTATGACTGAATAACCTGAGCTTTGTAAATGTCTTTGGACTGTTACATACCGCCATTCCGTAAAGACATCCTGCGAATTGTGCAAATGTGTTTGGTAAAATAATTTAACGCATCATTGATCCGTTTATTATTCCACTGCTGTAGCACGTGTTTGGATATTTTTGCATAATTACGGAAATCATAATCAAAGAGCATGAAATAGGCATCAGATGTACATGTAATTTCAACAATAGCTAATAGGGTAGTTGTGTTTTTGGTTCTTAGCCTAGTTGTAAATTTAAACACATATTGTAAGATTATAATTTTCTGTTAAAATTAATATTAGCAAATAAATAAATTATATATATATATATATATATATAACATGTTTGGGTTGGTCAATTTAAATATATATATATATATATATATATATATATATATATATATATATAGCCTATATATATATATATATATATATATATATATATATATATGTATATATATTGAAAGAAGTCTCTTCTGCTCACCAAGGCTAAATTTATTTGATCAAAAATACAGTAAAAACAGCAATATTGTGAAAAATTATTACAATTTAAAATATATATTTAAAATATAATACATTTAAAATAAAATATTATATATGCATAAAATATAATTTATCCCTTTAATGTAATTTCTTTGCATCATTACTCTAGTTTTAGTGTCACATAATTCTTCAGAAATATTTGCTGCTAAAGAAACATTTCTTTTTATTATCAATGTTGAAAACCGTTGTGCCTGCTTACTATTTTTGTGAAACCTTTTCCCCCAGCATTTATTCGAAATAGACATCTTTTGCTAAATAAAAGTATTATTTTCTATCGAAAAAAAATCATACTGACCCCAAACTTTTGTATTTCAGCCATAAAAAACAAACATTTAAAAAAAATTTAAATCAGTCCACCATCCCATATAAACAAACAAAGTTAAACCCAGCTAATCCAGTATTTGTACTGTATATATGTCAGTCTCTAAAATAAGCAAGGCAGCCCTACAATTTTCTCTGTCTCTCTTTTTTTTTTTGTCTTTATGGTAGCCCAGTTTGTTGATGGAGAGGATTTCGAATGACAGCCGGCACAGTGGTCATCACAGGTGGAATTTTAGCTGCAGTCATCTTGCTAACTATTGTCTCAGTTTTGTGTTACTGTAGGCTGCAGGTAATCCTCCTCTACTGCTTGTCTCAATAGTATCTCCCTCTTCTCTCCAATCTTATGTACTGAGTGTGACGTCTCACTCTGCCCATTAGTATTACTGCTGTAGAAGAGAAGAGTCGGAGGAGGGGGAGGACGAGGCTGACGTCGCCAAGTCATCGCCAAGTCCACCGCGCCAACCGAGTCCACCCGAGAGTCCACTGAGCCTTCGACATTTCCCCCAATACGCATCGTCCAATCAGCTGCTAATGACTGCAGAGCCTTTTGAGCCCAATGGGCCAGTCAGCTTTCCTCAGTACACCCCGCGCATGCCCTACAAGCCGCCACGCTCGTACACTTTCTGCCCCTCCTGCTCGGGGTATCTGCCGCTGTACGTGAGCCCACAGGAGGGTCTGCACAATGGAGGTGGCAGGGTCAGCTACAGGACTCTACAGCAGGAGGAATTAGACCTGCCAATGGATACGCCCAGCTTCCACAAACTCAACCTCATCCGCTCGGTCACCATGCAGGAAGTGCTGACTCATCACAGCATCAGCACGGATGTGTAGCACCTCGTATTCACCTCAAATATCGCGTGGTTCACATTTGTTATGCTGCTTTCTGTACCCATTTTATTTCATTAGATCCAATACATCTACTCATTTATTTATCAGGATAGTCATGTGCACTGTAAAGAAAACAAAAAATCTGTAGAAAAAACAATAATGTAATTATTGTTAAGTTTCTGACATTTCCTTTAACTCCTAAAAAAAAAGGAAGGTTCTATATAGAACCTTAAATGGTTCTGTTAGGCAGGAACCTTTTTGATATAACGGGTTCTTTAGCATTGTCTCAAGAATCCTAGGGATACAGAACCCCACTGAACCTTTTTTCTTAAAGTGTAAAACACAATACAATGCAATGCGTAAATTCTGGTAAAACACCTGTGAAAATTCCCTCCTATTAACACGACATTGTGTCTTATTTTTACAGACTTTTCTTAGACTGTGTACTGTAATAAAAGCATTTGCTTTATTATTCATACCTTCCACTCTTCATATGCAACTTCTTAATAGGGCTTTTTATTGGCATGAGAACTGGAGAGTAAATTTTTGATATCTTTGATATTGTTTCACATTAATTGTCAGATATTTACTGCTGTACTGAATATATGATCAAAAGATTTATGGTTGGTATGATTAAACTGAAAATGATGCGGATGTACAAGTTGTGAAATGAAAATAGCACCTGCGGTCAGTTTTACATGTAGGACAGTGAATTTGTGTTTCTGTTTGTGTAATCTATTTAATTGACTGATTTTATAACTGTCTGCATTCTCATCTTTGTGTGTAGTGCCACTCACTTTGTATTGATTTTGATCTAAAATAACTATGAAGTCACCAGAATAATGATCTGTTATTGTGTTTTACCTTTTCGTTTGTTAATAAATGCAAAATTTGTTCATATCAACAGTTGTTATGAGACAATTTTAAAGCTCTTATGATGTCATAAAAAGAACATATTTAACTGCACATGCTTATGGCCAGCAGGTGGCAACAGCTTATGTTCAGGACAAAGGGTCTATCAATACTTTGGTAAATTAAAAACATTAAATGAGACAAAGTGTGTGTCTGTTTGTGTATGATGAAAATTTTTGCAGATAAACCTTAATGAAAAATACTGATGTGTTGTATTTTTTATCAACTTATATAAAAAGTAATTTACACAGGGGTAATGTTAACTAAAAATCACTGAAATAAAATTCAATCACTTGAAATAAAATAAACATCACTCAAAGAGTATATATATATATATAAACTAGGGCTGTGCAAAAGTTAATTGCGATTAATCGCATCCAAAATAAAAGTCTGTGTTTACATATATATTTGTGTGTGCTGTATATAATTATTTTGTATATATAAATACACACACATGCATGTATATGTTTAAGAAAATGTGTTATTCCTATATAAAATATTTATATTTATATAATATAGATTATGTATTTATATATATATACAGAATTTAAGAGCAAATAATTCTTAAATATATGCATGCATGCATAGGTATTTATATATACAAAATAATTATATACAGCACACACAAATATATTATGTAAAACAGACTTTTATTTTGGATGCGATTAATCGCAATTAACTTTTGCACAGCCCTAATATAAACTAAAGAATAAATTTCAATAAATAAATACTAACTATAAATAAAAACTATAATGATACTGAAATACCACTCATTAATGTAAATTATTAAATTAATAATTATATGCTTTTAAAACCTATTCAAATTAACCAAACAAAAACACAAACCCACAGCATTTTGTTTGAAGTATTATATTTATTATTTAATATTCTGAGAGGTACATAACTGTTTTTCTATAAAAAAAAATCAAATGACTTACATTTGATTGTCTTTTGTACTTGAGGTAAGGTAGTATACAATATATGAGGTTTATTGTGTCTTAATGAAACAATATATGAATCAGATACATTTGCAACTATAATAGTACGTTCAAGTGTCAGGACTCAATGACAAGGGTAAAATGACTTGGGTATGTCAAGTTCTGCTAAATCCATTGTCAATTTAAATCGAATGATACAAAATGAATTATTCAGATACATACATATCAGAGAACCCAAAAAAGCTACTGCTGTAACCAATAAATTAACATAAGCCTAGGTCTAGCAATAGTTAAACTGAATAAAAGTAAACAGTAGAGTGTTGGAGCCAGCAGTGGCTTGAGGGTAAACCTGTTTGGATATACAGTACTAAAATCAGCCATCTTCAGCTGCCAGATAATAAATGTCCAATAAAACCTGACGAATAATAAATACTTTTATGACATGCAATATAATCCTCTGAGCAATAATCAAATAATTTAATGTTTCCTTACGGTATCCCACAAACACAGGACATTGTCATGAAGTAGGTATCATTTTGTAATACTAGCAGTAATGCAGTATTTATGGAACTAGTTTAATATATAACCAAATACTGATTCAAACTTCCCTTGCTCCCTTCCTCAAATAAGCACAATGCAGATGACATGAACAGATGAAAACCTGAGCATTGGGGTCTAGCTAGGAAGCGCGAAGATTATGGCAAGAATGGCAACAGGCCTTGCTGTAATACCAGTGACTGCACAGATTCACCTTCAGAGCCAGCGAGCAGTTGGTGGTGGGACGATCCTGGCAGTTTTCATCTGAGGAAGCATTGAAGCAGTTAAAATTTATGTTATTTATGATTTCTTTGAACCTGTGGGATTTTTTTCATTAGAATAAGGCAATGTTTCAAAGTGCATATTTAAGGATTTTAGGACATGCATCACCTCCATGTCATTCCAAACCTGCATAACATTATAAATACAGTATATGTTTCATATAAATATGTACATACTGTATATGTTTAACTGGAAAAAAATAGCAGCATAAAGATTTAGAACAACATGGTGAGGGTGAGTGAATGTTGAGATGTAGCAGGAACTGTTTCTTTAAGACACACCTGGAGGTTCGGTGGGGCAGGGCTGGAGTGCACAGGTCTGTTTGTTAACAGGTTTGGTCAAAGAGTCACATCCACGAACAAGCTCTCTTCCCTGGTAACACTTTACATCTCTCATTCGCACACCAACACCACAAGTCTTGGTGCACTGAGAAACAGTTGAGTACAAACAAGAGAAAAGAACAGTGAATTACACTTGAACTCTGGAGCCTTCACTGTAGATGAGAGACTTGAAGAGTCTTGTGGTATTTTTAAACCTAGTAAATGTCTTTGTTAGTACTGTAACCCTTCAGCATGATTGCCTCTGAAGCACTATCAATCTCATTGGCGAAACATCATTCCTTGACGCATGACGGCGTACCGCAGAAGCTATAACGGATACCCGGAGCAAATATCATTAGCTTTTCTTGACCACCTGAAGTGAGTCGCTCACAGCCATACCGGACTAACACAGTCTCATCCCAAGACGTCATACAACTGACGCTTTTGACCATACGTCAACATCCGCTGTTTTAGGGTACCCTTTAACGTCGGTTAGATGACGTTATCTAATCCTAACCCTACCCCAGACCTAAACCTACCCCGTCACCTAACTGATGTTAAAGGTAAAGCGTCAGTTGGATGACGCCCCAGGATCGTCATCTAACTGACGTTAAAGGGTACCCTAAAACGGCGGATGTTGACGTATGGTCAAAAGCGTCAGTTGTATGACGTCTTGGGATGAGACTGCGCTGGCTGGACGTATGGTAAGGTAACACAGTGTCTCATTACCTTCTCAGGGAACCAGAGTTACAGTTGTAACTGAAACATTCCCTTTCTAGGGAAATCATGCTACATCAGAATGTTGACGCTATGGGAACGTTCATACCCACTATACCATAGTGACAAATGCCTGTCCCAGAGTGAATCATGGTGAGCACAAGCTTAGAACATCTGAGGTATCTGAGATCCTGGCATGGAATTCAAATCCAAGCTGTAGAATCTGATAAATGGACCAGCCCAACTGAAAAAAATACTGTGCTACCGATGCGATCTCAAGTGCCCACAGCTAGCTCTTTTCAGCAGATCGCCTTGCGTTCTTAACTAGCTAAAAAGTATTTGGTGGACACACTGCCTTAGAGGCAACCATTCATCTTGTTGAATGGGCTGAGTGGGGGCTTGAGAAATGACATTCTGCTTCTGTTGTTGCCTGAGAGAGGCCAGGGGTTCTGTACTGTCCTGGGGCTGCTCCACAGCAGCAGCCTCTAGGACCTGGTTTCGGTTCCTTGTTTTTTTCCCTATTTCTTTGCCTCTTGAAACCGTCATTGATTATTGCGTCATCGAAGAGGCCAGGAAGGAAAAGCGGGGCATCCAACAGGAAGGGTCCTTGTCTATATTCCAGACAACCACAAATGTCTCCTCATTGCCACTATAGCTGTCATATGAAGATATGTCGATGGCACGGGCCATTTCCTTGTTGGCCTGGAGAAACAAATCTGTGGCCCAGTGTAACTCTTTCACACCCTCACCTTGATGACCTAAACATGGCAGCCTGGTATGCAGTATCACCATTGTGTGCAGACATGCTCCAGCCTGACTTGCAGCCACGTAAGCTTCGCCCAGCAAAGACAATGTCTTTCTACAGGGCTGGGTGGACAATGTCGAGGCCTTAAGGGCATTTTTATACCTGGCTAGTTTTGTTTGAAACCATCTGTTTCGGAACCTGGTGCATTTTCTCTTTGTTTAGGCATGTATGAACATGGCAATAGTACTTGGATCCGCACCAAAACGATCACACTGAGAATGCCTGAACGAGGTGGTCTAGGCCCGATTGAAAATGAATTCTGGAGCAGTTGGGTTGAGATGAGAAAGTAATCCGACCCAACAGAATAACGAACCAAGCGGCACCATAATTCATAAAGGGAAACGTGTTATATAAAAAGCAGCAGTCAGAGAGGGAATCGAGGCTACATTCATCTAAGTTTTTGTGGGTGTCACAACTACAAATAAAGCCACAATAAGCTTGCGGAGCGAACTTTTCAATCCATCATGATGGATGATGCATAGGAACATAAACAGGTGAACTCTGGCCAATAAGAGGACAATTTTACTCACATGTGACTTGCATAAACATATTTTGGTACGCTTTGAAATGTTGACTTTAAAAAAAAAAACCAAACCAAGACGAAAATGCAACATTGTAACAAATTAATTGTTCCTGTTGCGGAACAAAGCAAACGATCTACATCCATCCTCAGGAAAACACCCTAAGGGACGATACAGACTTAGAGAATAGATAGCTTGCAAGTGTTTGTTTAGATAGACAGAGACATACTGACACAAAGAGTTTACTGAAGCACAGAAGCTGTCAACGTTTCACAAATGAGATTGGATACCGCAGGTGCTTCAGACACTATCACGCACAAGCGTTCCCATAGCGCCAATATTGTAACGCAGCACTGAGTTCCCTTGAAAGATAACTCACTTAGCTTACTGCAAATGCCTACATGGCCAGATGTTCTGTACTTTCTAGCAGTCTGATACTAGTCGTATTTTAATATTTCAATCTGCCATCATAAATTAAATACATTTTTTAATGTTCACCTCAGACCATGGTGTTGTGTACCACTTGAAGCATGGCCTTTCAAAGCAGGTGTCCTCATCTACTGGTTGCTTACTGCTGTCACATTCCTCATCACCATGGATCTGGACCTTTCCACCCATGATGCCAACACACAGCACTGTCCTTCTCTTCACACCACGTCCACATGTTGTGTTGCACTGGAAGGCAGAAGACAATGATTACTGAAGAAATCGTTACATTATATTAACAAATCGTTATTTTCCACAACACATGCATAATCCTCACCCTCTCCCAGTCTTGAGACAGCCAATGTGGAGGGCATTCATTGTCTCCACAGGGGTGAATGGCCAGAGGTTTGTTTTCAGGTGAGCACTGAGACTCAGGTACCACTCGTCCCTCTGGTGTTTTGCAGTACACATGACGCACAGTTTGTCCATGCCCACAGATGCCTGAACACTAAGTAGTAATGGAAAATTAACATTTTTTTAAATTTGACAAATTACATGTCTTGCAATCACACCTAATCAAATCACATTTAAAGGGATAGTTCACCCAAAAATGACATTTCTGTCATCATTTACTCACGCTTATTTCATTACAATCATTTTATTATTTTGAAAAAAAAATATATTGTATATTATATATAAAAAATACATATTTTCTTCTTTTTTTGCCAATACAATGGAAGTACAATTGCTCCAATGTTGTATCTTCCTTTGAAGTTCCGCAAGGGGAAACGAGGGTTTGGAATGAAAATGGATTTGGAATTACATGAGGGTGACAAAATGTTCATATTTGGGTGAACTATCCCGTTAAGTTATGTGGAGCAAGATTTTGGAAAGAGATTCTACTGTATAATGATGCAGATGGTGTGAGCTTCATTCGCATCACTCTTCATTTGCATAACTAACAGTTGGGTAAAATTCTATAGCAGTGAAAGTCCAGGTTACTGATGTAACCCCCAATCCCTGGAGAAGGGAATGTCGGATTGACGTCATGGGTCTCACCTGGGAGTCAATCAGGCAATCCCAATTCACCTCCAAGTGTTAACTAAACGAGGCAATGGACATTGGCCAGTGTGATTTGCATGCTGATTCACACCCACCTAGACATACGTGTGTAAACGTGACTGGCATTACTCACTTCATTCATGTTTTGCTGAGGAGCTGAGACAGGATCAGGGCCATTCAGCGGTGGTTCAGGGCTTTGGCAGGGAGGAGGTAACTTTTCCGTTTCCTCCTTCAGGGAACAGGGGTTACATTAGTAACCTAGCCGTTCCCATTCAGTCAGTCACATTCAACGTTACGTCGGACTGACATTATAAAAAGCGCCACAGCCACTGAACTGTGTTACGAGTGTTGGAGACACAGATGCTTGTAAGGTGCCCCATGCCCTTTTAGCAACTGCCCTCACAATGTCATAACCTACCTAGCACCCCAACTCCAAGGCTCCAAGGAACACGATTCAGGGTTTGCCGGGTGGGGAACTCACCTGAAGAACAAATAAGCACTCGTTTCCCCCTGTTAGACGGGAATGGCCTGCAAGCAAAACAGCATGCCAGCCTTCCCACATATTACCAGCTTGTACACACTGAAAGAAAGCGTCTCCACTCTGAGATTGAAAAAACTCGCAAATGAGTTAGGTGTTGCCCAGCCCGCAGCTCTGCAGTAGTCTGCCAGAGAGGCGGCGTGGACCAACGCCCAAGAGGAGGCAACACCCCAAGTAGAGTGTGTCCACACTACGAAAGGGCTTGGGACTGATACGCCAAGGTGATGGCATCCACCATCCAGTGTGCCAGCCTCTGTTTGGAGACATCCTTTCACTTCTTTTGGCCTTCAAACAGATAAAGAGCTGCTCTGAGCTTTTGAAGCTCTGTGTGTGGTCCACGTAAACACGTAATATGCGAACAGGACACAGCAACACGAGGGCTGTGTCTGCCTTCTCCGGGGTGCCAGTTTAGTCAAGGTCCCATCCAGGAGCCTGAGGCTGCACTCCCATTGTACACAGTGCCCCAACCCGTTCTAGAGGCATCTTTTGTAACAACAACATGCCTGGACACTTGTTGTAGGGGCACTCTGTTTGGCGACAGCTCAGCTACACGGAGGGTGCCGTGACACCATGCCCATGTTCACTTTAGCAGGGTTTAGCTGTCTGGATGGGCTGCATCACCCTCCTGCTGGATGAACGGAATGCCTCCAGTCTTCCTGGAGTCGGTGCGCCGCAAAGGGATGCCCTCGGCAATGAGCAGGCTGGGGGCCAGCCCGTGGTGGCATGCCGGGGCAGGATGTGCTTTATGGCCTCAGTCTGCTTCTAGACTGCCGAGAACTGCTGGGCAAAGTCCTCGACAGTGTCGCCGAAGGGACCGGCCTGGGAGATGGAGGCGTCAAAAAAGCAGACTTTATCGGCCAGGTCCAACCAGAGATGGCATTCCTAGACCATCAGAGTGGACATCGCCTGGCTGAGGTCCCGTGGCATCACTTTCGGTGCCCGGAGGACGAGGTAAGTTGCTGTACGAAGGTTTCTGCAACAACCCCAGCCCAGAGAACAAAAGCCCACTCCCAGATGCAGTGATTGACATTTGATTCTCATCCGGAGCACCGAATTAGACACAAGGTGCCTCATGTGAGGGATCCACACTAACAATTGGGAATTTGAAGCGCATGGCATGATAGAGGAGTGGGGGTTTGTGGGGCTCAGATCTTCCAAAGTGCTAACCAGACCCACAGCTCTACGATGAGAAGCGGCGGGGGGCTGGGTAGCAGCAGAGGGGACTCGTGCCTCCGTATTGAAGGAGAGTCCAAAGCAAAATATGAATGAAGTGAGTAATGCCAGTCATGTTTATGTCATGTTTATGTTTATGTTTGTGACTCAGCATGCAAATCTCACTGACCAATGTTCAATGGCTTGCTTAGTTACCACTTGAAGGTGATTGGGCTCCCAGGTGAGATGCCATGATGTCAGTTCGATGTAACATCGAAAGTGACTGAGTGAAAGAGAACAGAAACTACTACAAATCACATTTTTTCATTCTCATTGTTTACAAACTGACTTTTGTCTTCAGTCACATTTTCTTCACACAGAGTTTTGTTTTAGTTTCCCACCAGTCATTTGTCACCATAGACATTCATTGACGGATCACACCTGTCTGTAATGAGTTCATAACCGTGTCTATTTAAGTTCCACCTCAATTATCATTCTTTGTCCGGTATTGTTCCTGAGTTACAGTACAAGCTGTTGCGTTTGTGTTTGCTCCTTTCTGGATTATCTATATGCTGTGTTTAATAGACCTCATTGTTTTTAGAATTACCTTCATCTTCATGGACTAAACGTCACAAAAACACAGTGTTAAAACTGTCAAGCATAATGTGTGTGCATTTTAAAATCTTCACAGGGTCTCACCGGTCCCCACTCAGACACTGTCCACTGGCGTTCACAAGGAGGGCCGGTGCAGTTTTTGGTAGATGCAGGGACAGTTGACTCGTCACACGCGTGAATCTCATCTGAGCATCTGACCTCTCGCGTAACCAGACTCTTGCGACCACATTTAGCTGGGCACTGCACAACAAACAAAACAAGGTTCTCTTTGGCATGCTAGTTTGATAACATTAACATTGTCCAACCATTTCAGTTTAAAATGTGCTATTCATATAAATTGATATTGTTTAAATTGTTTTTTAGTAATTTCTTAACTGGCCAAGACAAAAATACTGATTCAGAACATATTTATTTACTTACCGTGTATGGCAGTTATAATGGAGGATTAAGTAAAAGAGTTCTTAACCTACCTCAGACCACTCAGCTACTTCCCACTGAGGGCCACAAGTAGGGCTTTTACAGGCCCGGCGCTCTGGGGGGCGCTCTAGCTGTGCCTCTGTACAGAGGTCATTGTACACTGAGCTGTCTAGGCCGGGAGCCAGCATCTTCCAGCAACGCACAAGGCGAAACTGGAAACCTTCTCCACAAGTCCGAGAGCACTCACTCCAGCTGCTTGCCTCCCATCTAGACATAAAGTGCACAGCAAGAGTTTCGTGTCAAGAAACACATAATCAAATTGGAATTAGAATGACATAAGGGTGAGTAAATTATAGAATTTTTGGAAATTTATCATTTTTGTTTTGTTTTTATTCCTATTCTTGTCTTTGCTACAGAGCTGCACACATGACATGCGAGGGAAAAACACAAGATATTGTGAGCACAAATAAAAAATTAGTTCTTCCCTCATTTTAGGTAAATGGGTGTCACTTTGTTCCCTCATTTTAGTTAAATTATGGCCACGATTTACTAAATTAAACACTAAATTAATTAATTTGTAGTAAAGATATACTTAAAACATAATTAATGAAATTAATGAAATGTGGCCATGGATTAACAAATTCTTAGAGGGATTTTCCACCCAAAAAAATTCATTCTGTCATCATTCGCACACCCTCATGTTGTTCCAAACCCATAAGACTTTGATTGATCTTCGAAATACAAATGAAGGTATTTTTAATTAAACCTGAGAGGTTTCTGTCCCTTCTTTGAAAGTCCAGGTCACCAAAACTTACCAGATCCAAAAAGATCATAAAGGCATCATAAAATGAATGCCACGAGGGTTAATGAATGAATTTTGAGTAATTTTGAGTAAAACACGCTTAGTCTAACTATCCCTTTCATCTGCGGCCAAAATATCAATCCATTTAGTTTTTTATGCATGTCATGTGTGGTGCTCCGTACTTTTCCCCCTTCAATTCTGTAACAAATGCAGCACGCGCACCTGGGCTGGCATTCTCTGCCAATGCAGAAATCATGAACTGGCTCTGGTCGAGTCAAAGCATCACAATAAACATCATCCACCTCAATGCCATCATACCGCACACACATGGCAAGTGATTTCGACACACCTATTCGAGATAGGACATTGTATAAAACAAACCTCCCAACATAAACAAACATGGTTATCAGCAAAACTTATGTGTGGATGTTTGTGGCCGTCGAGACTAAGTTCATAATGCCTTAATTACCTATCGAGCATGTCATACTGCAGGGCTCCTGTGAGGACAACTTCCACCGGTACATGTCAGCAGCGCTCATTTTGTTCTTCTGAAGGAGCCTTTGGTTATTTCTGTGGGAAAGAAAACAGCATCTCAGACTAGGCCACGGTTCAGCCACCTGCCCTGTATATTAGGCAGAGCATTCACGTTTGCTGATGCCGAGACACCAACTGACACTCCAGTCATAAAACCACTAACATTTTTACCATTCCTGGTCACACTCATTACCTTAATGTCAAGGATGGAAAACAGCGCATTCTCTCAACTAGGCAGGAGCCAATAAAATTTGTTCCTCATGGTAAATTCCTGGGATTTATCTGATGCGACAAGCGTAGTCTGTACCCGAGTGATCTATGGCAATTTTTTCCACAAATAACAAAACATCTTGAATTATGTTCCTCAGAAAGTCCATCATCCTTATTCGGCCTTCTTTTCTTCTCTCCACCTGGAATCTTTCTCTTCTCCTTCGGATACGAGTAAGGGCATTTCATGAGATGTTCTTTATGATCTCTGGCAGAGGGGCTGGTAAAGCAGTGTTTGGACACGGCGGAGGGAACCCAGCATGAATTATAAATATGATGGAATGCAACCCCGCCAGCCTCTGCTTGGCCGTCTCCCCTCGGCACTCTTTGAATGTCTCCAAGAACGTTAACAAAAAAACCAAGCCAGAGCTTGAGTCTGAAGCACATTCCATTCTCCCTGGAGGAGGGCTGTCCCACACATGCGCGTCCAGCACAGCTTTGGCATGCCACTGTGGAGGGCTAGGACCTTACGTTTAAAAATGCCAAAAGATGCAACTGATAAAGATACCTGCATCTTCACTGTATGGAAGACCTTGACATGATCGTGAGATTGCTAAAATCATGTTCGACCAGCGACTAATGAGCTGATTAAAGATTGTGATTTAGCTTTTGTCAGTTTTGCACAATGTAGAGTTTGAACAGTAAATTCAAGTTACGCCATTCACTAGACAAACCAGCAGGTTGGCTTTTCTGACTTTAAACCTCATGAACTCAGAGTTGGAGTTTTGACGACTCATCCTGCACTACACAGACTTTTGTCAAATGCCTTCTAGAATGAGAATGCCCCATCCCATTAGCACAACTGTCTAGCAAGTATCAAATCGTCCTTCATGTCTGTAATGTAACAAAACTACTATTATGGCTATTAAAATAAATAAATATTGAAATAATTATTAGAATTATTACAATATTATTTAATAAATAAATATGATAAAGTATACTACTTGGCAAATGTTATTATTTGAAATAAATGTACACCAAATAATTTATATCAAAGTAAATACATTTATAGACCTTATGTAGCCCCGCCCCTTTTCAGCGTCTTTTGACTTCCGGTCTGTATTTTGACAGCGATCTTGCATAGGTATGAATGAACTGCTCATAAAAAAATTCCCGGTCGACATTTGTTAAGACATCTGCTTTACAATGCTTATGATAAACATTACAATGCTCATGATAACTACAATAAGTAAATCCACTTCACCAGCTAATTACTCATCGACAGCGATGAACGGAAGCTCAAAGACAATATTCTAAAGATGACGGCGCCCACGTTTCTCTGGTGCATTAGGTCTATAATGAACAAAAGTTTTCTATATGTCAAATAAATGCTTTTTCCAAACTTTATATTATGAAATAATACACCACAGGTTCCAGAAAATATTAAGCAAAATAACTATCTTCAGCTTTGATAATAATAATAAATGTTTCTTGAGTTCCAAATCAGCTTATTAGAATGATCACTGAAGGATCATGTGACATGGAAGACTGAAGCAATGGTTGCTGAAAATTCAGCTTTGCCGTTAGAGGAATACATTACATTTTAAAATGTATTAAAAGTAAATTTAAAAAAACAGTTATTTTAAATTGTAAAATATTTCGCAAAATTACTGTTTACTGTATTATTGACCAAGTAAATGCAACCTTGATGACCATAAGACATTTTCAAAAACGTGAAAAAAAATCCTTATCAACTAGTACATTATCATATTTACCTGGTGCGATTGCGATTGCGTAAAATGGTAGTAAGAGTTCTGTTTGGGAGTAGGAAGTCCCCCGTGTCATTTCGCCTGTGCCCAAGGGTGAACTCAAGCAGTGAGCCATTAAGACCCGCTTGCTCAAGACTGCTGTAGTCTAACTCCAGTGGACCTGCTTCAGAGGACAAGCCATCTCTGTGAGTAAGAAGCTGATTGGTTGAGATGTTTGCAAGAACACCGTCTGAGCCGACTCGTTCTCCCAGCAGCACTCTCCAGATGAGGTTTTCAGAGTTTGCCATGTCCTCAGCAGGTCTGCTGACTGGTGCAACACCAGGGGGTCCTACCCCACTGGGCCAGCTGCAGTTACCCTCTTTTAAAACAAGAAGCACAATAGATTCATTCTGGATTTGTTTGAAAATAACTAAAGTAATTATGCGTTTGGGTACAACCTGTTATGGTACAGTATGACTAAAAAAAATGATCCAAAAAAAACTTGGTCGGTACCAACCCAAAACACAAGTCTGGGTTTTAAATGTATCACTGCATATCAATGCATTCAATAACAACTCATTTGAGAGGATCATTGCCAATTTCAACTGATTCAGTTCAGTCTCGAGACCATATTTTAATGCTCTTGGTCTTGTCATGGACTCGTGTCCATTTGGACTCGGAATTGACTCGTACTCTAACATTTTTTTTTTTAGGGCTCAGACTTATTCCCGAGTCCACTCCTGTTCAATTCAAAATATTTTTCATGATTATTAATGTATGTTAATAAAATATTTCTTTAAATTGATTGACACGCCCAGTGATTGGTGATTTTCTAGTGCGCAACTGCGCATGACAAATTGTAATAAAATTACTTTTAACACCACCTACTATGTGGCCTTTTTACCCTAAACTGATCATATTTTTTAAACTCTAAGTAAATTCAGTAAAAAAAAAAAAAAAAAAAGGATTTCTCTAACTAAATAAAAGTAAATTAGGTAATCAACCCTCACTGGTCTCGGTCTCGACTTGGACTCGACCGTCTCTGGTCTCGGACTCGACTCGGACTCGACTCTCTATGGACTCGGTCTTGACTCGGACTCGACTCTCTCTGGTCTCGGTCTAGACTCGGACTCGAGTGAGGTGGTCTCGACTACAACACTGATTCAGTTTAAGTTTTATAGTTGTGAATGCTCTATATCTAAATAGGGGCACAACCTTCATCAGGACACCCCACCTCATTTAAAAAGATCAATGTCAGACCAACAGCAAACACAAATATCTGTAATTCTCATTTTAGCCAAGGAAAATGCCCGGCCTCTCTGAATTTTTCATCCTCTCTTTATAATCTTTGTTGCGGGTTATGCATTATAAAGTACTCCATAGGGCCGGCAGAAAGAGGGCTTTTAACTCACTGATGATTGCCTAGTGAACCATGTACGTTCTCTGTCTAGTCTATCCTCCACTTACTTCAGATATAGTGAATGCATAAATCTCAGAGGAGGCTGATGGATCATTTTAAAGATCACAGTAGTCTTTATTTGGGGTCCATTATTTAATTTGTGTTGCAGGTAGGTTATGACGGGGGAAGATGCCCCCTCAGGAAACAAGTTACGTTAGTCAAACTCACATCAGCTGACTCTCAGCTGATCCACGTCTACCAATAGGAATACGACGCCTATCACTGCATACATATATAAGCTCCTTCAGTATTATCAGTAGCAATCACGTTTCTCAGGGACTAATTACCTCCTCCACCCAGCATTTGGCATTCTGATTCCTCTTGAATCAGACAAAAATTCTCAAATTATGTTGTACTTTAAAATCTTGAATTCATGATATCGGCATACATTCATTTTTTTTCATATTGCTGCTCTCCCTGCTCTTATCCATGCTAGGCTGCAATGTACTGTATGCACAGGGAGTTCTCGCCCAGAACGAAACCATACCGCCAATCCAAACCATATGCTAATATTGTCAATCGTATTTGACTATAGTGGTCCTGAATGCACTTCCTGCTAAGTTGTGCTTAGCATGATGCTCAGGATAATGATCCATGACGTTTCAGGTTACAACTGTAACCTGAAACATTATAGATTGTGCAACATTGCATGGAACCTTAGGCACATACGTAGGGTGCAGAAAGGCTTTAACTATGGCAGGAGCAAACTCTAAACTCTAAGTTTTCAAGCTGCTAACTAACTAAGAGAACTAGCCACTCTAGACTGGTCTCGGGTATATTTCGAGTAGTCAGCTTAGCGCCCTGAAGCAGAGGACTGACAGGGAACAACCGGCTTCTCTAGCAGAGAGGGAGCAGTTCTCTCAATGACGCAAGGTCTCAGAGTGGACACTGAGAAGCGAACTCGCTGGAAACCGCTCCACCCCGAAGCACCTGAGGTACTTCCTGAAGCACATTATGGACGGGAGCAGTCCCAGTTCAACCCTAAGGGCAGAAAATGGCTTCCTCCATGATCTTGACACCTCAGCATCACAAAATGTAGGCCCCGATGTGGAGGTTGCACTTTGCTAAGCAGAAAGTGCTAATCAAGTTTGCTTTTAGTACGAGCGTCCTGTCTCTCAGCCAGCCAGTCGATGTTTAAAGGATTAGTTCACTTTTGAAAAAACTTTTGCTGATAATTTACTCACCCCCATGTCATCCAAGATGTCCATGTCTTTCTTTCCTCAGTCGAAACGAAATTAAGGTTTTTGATGAAAACATTCCAGGATTTTTCTCCATGTAATGCACTTACAGTACATGGGAACCAGACGGTCCAAGGTCGAAAAGACAGTTAATAACAGTTTCAGATGCAGCTTCAAATGTCTTTAAACGACACCAGACGATGAATAAGGGTCTTATCATGCGAAACGATCGGTTATTTCAAAACTTATACCAAAAATGTAACTTTTCTAAGGACAAATGCTAGCCTTGCTCTATTCTGTGAGGCGCGTTTGTAACGTCACGTTGTACGTAATTACGTTCAAAAGGTCACGGGCGACGTAGCCATAAGTACAGAGTCAGTGTTTACAAGTTGAACGCATAGGTTGAACGTGCAAACTAACTCAACGCCGTTTACAAAAAAAGGAATTAAAAGGTAAAACAACGATGTCGGACGATTTTGATTCTGTACTTCCGGCTACGTCGCCCGTGACCTTTTGAACGTAATTACGTATTACGTGACGTTACAAACGCGCCTCACAGAATAGAGCAAGGCTAGCATTTGTCCTTAGAAAAGTTACATTTTTGGAATAAGTTTTGAAATAACCGATCGTTTCGCATGATAAGACCCTTATTCATCGTCTGGTGTCGTTTAAAGACATTTGAAGCTGCATCTGAAACTGTTATTAACTGTCTTTTCGACCTTGGACCGTCTGGTTCCCATGTAAGTCCATTATATGGAGAAAAATCCTGGAATGTTTTCATCAAAAACCTAAATTTCTTTTCGACTGAGGAAAGAAAGACATGGACATCTTGGATGACATAGGGGTGAGTAAATTATCAGCAAAAGTTTTTTCAAAAGTGAACTAATCCTTTAACTTGGCCACAGCAGGAGTAACAACATCCCAGCAGCTCAATGCAGAAGAGTGAGGTGGTGAGTCCTCAAATTCTCCTGTCTCAATGATGAGCACATCCACCTCCTCAGAGCTGGATAGCTGCAGCACCGGGCCTTCACTCGGGGCAAAAGAAACTGCTGAGCGTGCTTCTGACACATGAGAGAAGGCACTAGATTAAGGTGGTGAGGGCAGAGAAAATGCTGCACCTTTTCATGAATGAAAAATGTCATTCATGTAAAATGCTAAATCAAATATTCTATGTAAATACATTTGGTGATTTACTTAATGAATTGATTAACATTTGACAAAAAAAATTTGGGGGGGGGGGGGGTGTAACACTTTTTCTACGCATTTTTTTTCTAATTCATTAAAATCATCAAAAGTGACAGTAACTTTCTATTCATCAAAACATCCATACAAAAATGTATCATGGTTTCAGCAAAAATATTTATGTTATATATCAGCGCAACATTTTTAAATATCGATAATAATAATTAACACATTAGCAATGGACTAAGAATTTAGACTGGACGATTCTATTCAATTAGCTAATAGGTCATGATGCATAACGAAGATAAAATGATGAAATATTCTAATATAGAAATATACAACATATAATTACAAAATAAAAACACCATAGTAACAACATATCACTTTTTCTTTTCACTTTAAAATGAAATGTGTTGTCTTTTTCTAAATAAATTAAAATCACTAATTAACTAACATACATAAAAACATTTAAACTCAAATTTGATTCCTCATTGTACCTCATTTTTTTTTCCAGAAATGTATAGACAGCGTAAATTAATATATTTACCTGTATACTGCACTGGTGTGTTAGCATCCTGTTCACAGTCAATGTTAGCTGTCTTGTACACTTCATTGGTTTCCTGGCCAGGATTTTGTCCTTCCACAGCCCTGGGCCCAGTGGTCTGTACCTGCTTCCCCTCCATCTCAGGAACTGCCTTATCATACATGCTCTCATTGTGATGTAGAACACTGCCAATTTCTACAGAAACCAGACTGGATCCTCCTTGTGGGCCTCTGTAAATGGGGGGCTGGGAGACAGAAGCCATAGAGTCCCTCATCACTGTGTACTCATAGGTAATGTAAGGATTTTGGCCATTTTGGTTCCAGACCTTTAAGTGAACAGACAGAGACATGTCCAACAAATAAGAGACCATTAAGACAAATATGTTATAATATCCCATTTTAAACTTGCAGGAAACAATATGTAAATATGGACTAAAGGCTGTTCTGTTGCACAGAATCATGCTTTGTTTGGAAAGTAAAGGGCACTGCGGTTGAAAAATGTCCATAATTGTCCAAAGACATTTCAGAATTTCCCTTTTTGCAATACTGCATCATCCCATATTCATCCCATGAACTGAAGTGAAATAGTCATTCCTCCAGGGACAATGTATCAGAATATTACCATTTATGCAGAGTGAACCATTAGACCTTTGGCCTGCACAAAGTCGAAGCCATTGTTAGCCAGCCAGTGAGATTACCCATGAGCCCTTGGCGGCGAAGGGAGGACCACGGCTACAGTACCAGAACATTGATGGGCTGATCGATGGGCCCTTTAACCACGATGTACTCGATCCCCGTCTCATAAACATCTGTTGGCCGCCGGTATTTGAAAATGGTCCCCGCTGCATGGAAGTTCTGTGGGGTGTCCGCTTTATATGCACCATTGAAGAAAAAGTTCCCTGCTTGGTCAGTCACGGCTGGAAAATAACAAGGGTGAACTATAGTGATGGGAGGATTGAATCATTTATTTGACCTTCTCATTAAATCATCTTCAGCAAAATGAATGAATCTTTATTCAAGTCATTTTTTGATTAATTGCAGTTGAGTGGAGTTAAAATGTTATATATTCAATAGCCAAATCAGAACACAAAGGCCAACACTATGCCATCTTTGATTATAAAGTATTCTGAATTAAGAAATCATTATAAAGCAGCCAAAGATAAATAATGGAAAACTAGGTAACACTTTACTTGAAGGGATGTGCATAAGACTACATGACACCTTCATAACCATGTGACAACTGTCATTAAGTGTCATTCGCTCAGTTATGACATTTTTAATGCAAATATGACATTGTTTGAGATGTCTTTGTTATGACATCTTGACATAAACCAATACATCATAACCTGTCAGTGTCTTTGTCATGACAACTTGACATTACTAAGACAACACAACCTGTCATAAACATGATATAGCAGATAATTATCAAACCACCTAGCTTTATTGGTTAGCATTACATTAAACCGTCAGGTGGTTGGTTTTGACATTGGCTGCCATGAAGCCATTATAACTTTTTAATGACAAATTATATTAGTACCACTGTAGTTGAGGTCACGAAAAATATTCATGACACAGTTATAAGGGCCTCATGACAGCCAATGTCAAAGCCATCCACATGACAGTTTAACTTAATTTTATGTCAGGTTGTCATGACAAAGACACTGACAGGTTATGATGTATTGGTTTATGTCAAGGTGTCATAACGAAGACATCATAAACGATGTCATATTTGCACTCAAAATGTCATTATTGAGTGAAAGACACTTAATGACAGTTGTCATAAACATGCATAAATGCTACTTCATATTCAAGACACATGTCATGTCATGGTTATGTAGGCGTCATGTCAGTCTTATGAAAACCTTTCAAGTAAAGTGTTACCGAAAACTGAAATGATTTGTCTCCAGGGCCTTTCATTTATATGCATTTGTTTAAGTATTTACTTGTATGCATATAAAATCTATCCAGCACTGCAAAAGAAGTTTAATAATGTGGATGCGCACTGAGCATGTTTTGCTTAGTGCCAATTCAACACCACAAACGCATATATATATATATATATATATATATATATACTATATATATATATATATATATATATATACATACTGTATATATATATATATATATATATATATATCCTTAAGCTATCCTTATCCTTAAACTTGTATTTCCTTGTAAGTTCGGAAAGGGCGATTCTGAATGAATTACTAGGGCAATTAGATTTGTGCCTATTTGCCATCATGGAAAACCCAAGCTTTCACTTGATATTGTAGATGAAGTATGAAGTACTTGTCATACTTTGAAAGTCTAGTGCACAGTTGAGCACTCAAGCCATTCAAAGGGCCTGTCCCAATGCCAAATGTATTTCCAGTATTTGGCCCAAGTATTCCATTGAGTGTCAATGTCAATCTCTAGGTATGGTGAAGGGTGTGTGATGATGTGGGCTACTTTAATTCCAGAGGCCAAGGAAACTTTATCAGGATGCATAGGATCCTGGATCCATGAAATAACTGGCCTTTAAAAATAAAAATCTGCCTGCCGCTATGGGAATTTAACATAGGGATGTCCTCACTTATGTTCCCTGTATTTTAAGGAAGAACATTTATTAGTTTTATAATACATTATTCATTCACAAAGTAAAATTGGTGTCCTTAAAAGTTGGATTTTTCTTATTTAAAGCATCAAGATCAATTTCCAAAAGATGATTTTTTTATTCCTTTTTGTAAAATGTGTTGTAAAAAATGCAAGAAAAGTATTTACAGAGCTTTATTTACACATTTTAATTTTCTATACTTTGTACTTTAAAATAAACCTCAAAAAGTCTCTTCAGTAGTTCCTATGTACAGATAGCATAGGGAAGACATAATTCACATGCTATACCACTCTGAATGATTTACAGTACAGTTGCTCACCCAGGATATCTGCAGACTTCTTCCTCTCTATAATTTGGATGTCCCATGATCCTTCTGGGATTTGAGTTATCAAAGAATAACCTTCAAAGAAACAGTTCACTTAATTAGGATATTAATTCCTTGATGAGTTTATTCAGAACCATTTAATATGAATGCCATTCTACAAAACATCACAGGTTACGCATGTAACCATGGTTCCCTGAAAGAAAACGAGACACTGCATCATATGACAATGGCATGTTGGGGAATGCCTTCGGCGTGCAAGCGTCTGAAGCACGTGTGCAACTTGTCCAAACTTGATTGGGGTTTCGTCAGCCCATGATGTGTGACGGCGTATGGCGAAGTTATAAAGGGAAGCAAGCAATAAAGCAAAGGTAGCTTTGTATAGGATAAAGCAAGCCGCTCACAGGCCTGCAGGAAGTATGGTAAAGGGATGCAGCATCTCGTCCCCCTCTCAGGGAAGCATGGTTAAATGCGTAATCCGAGATGTTTCCTTTCGAGGGAACTCAAGCTGCATCGTATGACGACACTTTGGGGAACAAAATACTCACTTGCCATGCTGACAAATGCCTGTCTTTGTATGAAGATGATCAGGCATGACTCAGTACATAAGCAGTACATAAGCACATAAGGAGGTCCAAACTGAGAAACCTTATGAAAGTGCCATTTCCCTTGTGGAATGAGCTCTAGCTTGAAGAGGTGAATGCAGACCGCACACTCTTTAAGTCATAGAAATTGTTTCCACAATCCACCTGCTTATAGATTGTTTGGCCACCGAGCAGTCCTACCCAGGGGGCTGAAGCATATAAGTAACTGGTCAGTTCGTTCTCTTTGAGAAATTTTCTAAACATAGACCTCTAGCGCCCTAACCAGGCAGAGCAGGTGAAGCTTCTCTTGTTCCGCCACATAAGGAGAAGGATGAAAGGCCTGAAAGACTGTGGACTAGGCCACATTAGTGGGCACATTAGGTACGTAATCCGGCCAAAGGGTGAGAACCCTACCTGGACCGAACTCCAGACATGAAGAGGCCACAGAGAGAGCCTGCAAATCTGATTGCCAATGAGAATACCATGTTGTTCCCCCCTCAGGGCCCAAAGCCCTCAGGCCGCAATTCTTTCTAGAACTCCCAGGAGCAAAGCGATTCAGGGGACTGTGTACATACGAAGACTAATCTTGTTCGGAACCTACTATGGTAGGTAGCACCCACTGAAATATATTTGGAAGTCCTCGTCTGGCTTCAAGGAAATCTACCAGAGCAATCAGCCTAACCAAATCGATGTTCTACGGACATCCTTATGGAGGGCAAACCCCTCATAACCGCAACCTCAATGGGGGGGGGGTAACATAGAGTACCCTGAAGCACTGTATGTGCTGGGGTTAATTAATCTAAATTAATCTTAATTAAGCTAATTTCCTGATGTCTCTGAGGAGGAACAGATGTATCTCGCCTTGCCCACCAGGGAAAATGTTACATGCCAAGACTTGGTGAGCAACGAAGGGGTTTTCAGCACAATCTCAGGAGAGAGATATGCAGTTAATGTCTCTTCAACCTTAGCCATCGTCACATAGCCATTCTCCTTGAGCCCCATGATCACTGAATAATTATAAACTGTGGGGAGACGTGAGGAGAACGGCTTCTTCCAAGACCTTGACACCTCAGTGTGGAGATCTGGAAAGAATGTCAAACCCTGACGTGGAGGTTGTGATTTTGACAGCAGGAAGCGTTCATCTGGTTCACAAAAAAAAAAATACTTGATCAAAATCCTCTGTCATACCATTAGTGTAATATTTTGGGAAAATACATTATGCTCAATTTTGAAAATTTTATTCATTTTAAAATTAGCTGTTTCATTTATAAAGTTTTTCATGGACTGGCCCCACCTTCACTTTCTACATACATTAAACTAAAGTCTGACAGTTTGAGGTTGTTGTACCAGAGCTTCATTCAGAGGAGATATGTTAAGACTGTTCATTAACGTGTACTGAATAAATAAATAAATACGAAATAAATCTAGCTTGTCTTTTCTTGAATGCTTCCCGCTTCTCGGTTGGCCAGTTGATACTAAGCTTCGCCATGCACTAGTAGTTAAAACCTCCACAAGCTCTTCATACTGCAAGAAAAGGCCTGGGAGTCACCCAAATCGCCAGCATCAATGCTTAGGACTGGATAGTCCCATTAATATCCACTCGCGCAGGGCAGAAGAAAGCCACAGAGCGGGCTTCCGGACCCCGAAAATGAGCACTAGAGCTAGAGATTGAGAGCAGAGAAAGTCGTCTCAAGGTCCCCCCCTAGCCCAATTTGTGATACCCACAAGTGAAGCAGCCATGAGACCCATTCCCGGGGAGTGTAAGGCTGTGCACTTTCTATCTTTTCAAACATGACCAGGCAAGGGAAACTCTTCCTCAAGGGAAAGTGTTCACAGTATGCACATCCAGCCCCCTCGCGAGAGCTGACTGTTTTGCTCCACTCCCAAGCAGCTCACACATTCAGATCGTGTGTGTACGTCAAAAGCGTTCCCCAAAGTGTTGTCATACAACACAGCGTGAGTTCCCTCGAAAGGGAACACTGAGCTGACATTACCTAGACTAGAAACCCCACGACGAAAGTTCCCAGTAACACGACTGCAGCTGCTCCCATCTCCCTGACATACACCACACTTATCCAGGGTGTTGGGGGAGAAGAGAACACCATCACATCCAATGGGCTGCAAAGTTACACATCAGCTTATAAGTTCAGGTCACATGCATGAGAAAAGTAATACAAGGACATATCCTTATATTAGATCTGCAGTGTAACTTACTTCACATCTCCCATCTACACACACACCCCTGTAATTGCTGTATTTGCAAGATGTTCCATCCCGTGCAGGTACCATCAGCTGTCTTTGACCATCAGAGGTTGTGCAGTGCAGGTCACATGGATTACTGGAAATGTGAACGTAGTCATCTACAGGAACATAAACAGGGTTCATTGTTTCAACATGAATGATACCTTCACAGCAAAGCTTCGTTAATTAAAACTGGTAATACCGGGATAGAGAGGTTTCCAGTGGTAATTTTTTCCACTATAAACCTGAGAGTTGAATGACCAGCACTGCTCTTCTCTGAAGCTCCTTCCTGTAGCAGGACAGTCCTGTAATTCACAGAAATACAATCAGTTGAATACAACTGAATACTGTTTTTTGGTTGCCACTGCACATTAAGCAAACTTAAAACTGACTAAAAAGAGCAAATTATGCATTTACAGTAAGCCTCGGGTGGAAGTGGAACACGAGGCTCGCTGTCAAGTTAGGCATCTGGGATGCATTTCTTTTGGTCTATCTAAATGCACTGTGTATATGTGTGTGAGAAAAGGAAAAACATATCCTGTGAGCTCACCTTTGCATTGCAGAGATGATACTTTTTTGCATTGCCTGTGCACGTCATGTTGTCTTTACCAGTTGTTGTTTTCTTTCTTTGAAAGAAAGATATATTGTTTTAGTTTAGAAGAATATTGCACTCTCAAAATTTCTCTTTTTTACTGGTGCCAAGTAAAAGAATTTAATGATTTATGTTTAAGGATTTGAAACAAAACTAAATGCAAAAGAATTTTTAACAGGCTAACTTATGGAAACCCATTTCTCCCACATAAGAAAATAAATCATATGCTTTGGTAAATCTTAATCATGACATAATGACATAAAAGAGTCTAAATTGTGAGATACTAAGTCATAATTATGAAATAAAAGCTCAAAAGTATGAGACACTAAGTCATAAATATGAGGCAAAATTTTTTTATAAAAAAGCCAATTATGACAACTGATTGAATTGAATACAGTTTATTTTAATGTCATTATCATGGCTTAGTACGTCTGACTTTTAATGTCCCAATTATGACTTTTTCTCATGTTTATTACTTAAGTCCCTTTCACACAGAGTTTCCGGAAAATACACGGACAATGTGACCCGGCATTTGTCCCGGGATTGTTTGATTTCGGTTCATTCACACTGTCAGTGATTTGCTGGGAGTGCGTTCACACACAACCCGTAAAAATCCCGGAAAGACACATGACGTCAGGATGAGACGTGTAACGTACACGTCGAAAACATGTACATACCGCATACCGCGAATACCGTTCCACAAAGCACGGATAGTGAGGAGCTCCTGGTCTCTGCTTCTTTCCAGTTTGCAGACATTTGTTCATCCTTTCTTTGTTGATGACGAACGCAAACTTTCTTCTAAGAGCAACAGAGTCGCGCAATGGCATGAGCATCATCACTATGACACACCCCTTACAGCATTGGTCCTGGCTTTTGTTCACACATTCCGGGACTGATTCCAGCAATGTTACTAGGTCCCCAACTCGGCATCGATGCCGGCATCAATCCCGGGCCGTGTTTGCGTTCACACAGAAGGCGCTCTGGCTATTTCCCGGCAATTTCCCGGGATCAACGAGCTGTGTGAAAGGGGCTTTATTATCTCATAATTGGTATCTCATCATTTAAAATGTTTAATTATGAATCTCTGCTTTTATGTCATAATTTTGACTTTATCTCATAATAATGACATCATAGTTTTGACTTTTTTCTTGGGATTTTGACTTATGCCATAATTTTGACTTTTTATCTCATAATTACAGTATGACTTTGTATCTCATAGTTTCAACTTTTTATGTCTAACTTTTTATGCTTTACCAAAAGCATGGCTTTCTATTTTTTTTTGTTCGTGAGTCATTAAAAATGATCTTCCATTCCAGCTAGCTACTATAACTAGCTAACTAGTTGCTGTATTTCAAAGGAGGGGGAGTGTCAGGGAAACCCTGTGTCTTGTTGTTAAATCTTATTATAAGCCTCCGTATTATAAAATGTGATAAGCTGATGTTCATTGACCTTTGTTTTAGACAGTGTCTCTCCTGTGACATGACACCTCCTCCACAGGTACGTGTGCAGGCGGTCCATTTTGTCCATTCTCCCCACCAGTATGTGATCACCTCCAGCCCGTCCTCCAGACTGTTAGAGGGAACACCCTCTTCCTTTGGAAAATAAAGAGTTCATTTATTAAAGTGAGCATTGGAGACCAACATCTGTGCTCAGAGAAGCCTATAACGTTTCTTATAATTGTAATCTTTGAAATAGAGAATTACAAGTAAAAAAATAGTGAGGTAAGAACAAGAAAAAGTAGTTTGTAGTTCTGTAGTTTGGTGCTCTGATGTAAACTTGGATTTTGATTTATCATCATAGTATAAAACTAATAACTTATCAACATTACAAACCTGCCCTCTGCTTGAGAGATTTCCCAGAGACAGAGCCAGCGTTGCAAGACCAAGCAGCACCAGACAGCTCTCCACATACTGGACCCTTAACCAGATCCCCATCCTGTAGGACATGAATATTTGGGTCAAAAAGAAACTGAATAGCCTCTCAAAGCATAGGTTTAAATACAGATATAAGCACAAAAGGAGATTGTTTTTCGTTCAGAACTACTATATGTTCTGAGGATATATTTGAATGGATGACAGTGAGAGTATCATTTAGGGCCCTAGGCAGATAGATAAATCATGACAAAAGCTATGTGTGTGTGTGGTCCAGCTATTCCATATGCTGAGGGTACCAAATAGCAGGTACACAATGATAGTAAAACTTGTTTTGGGGACAATAATTGAAATTCTATCTTTGCTCCATTAATTGTATTTGTCTTGTTGATTGCAATTTGCTTCTTTGTTCTTGTTTTTAATTAGAAAAAAATTTAAAATAAAATAATAAAAATATAAATGTTTTTATCGTGAAATAAAATCGCCCCTATTTGGGTGAATCAAAGATGCTACAAATAGCTTCTTCTTTTTTTTTAAATCAAAATCCACTTGGCTTAAATATATTAGGAAACATGCCCTCTCAGTTTGCATGACGTTTTATGTGACCGGAACACATGAAATACAATGAAAGGGTGAATGCAATACTCTGTCTTGTATTTAAGTCCAGTGATGCAAGAACGTATACACTTCATTATACACTTCTCATCAGACCTGCACCTCCAATTAGGTAGGCTCCTTAAAGAAAGCAAACAGATCATCTCACTCTGTTTGCAGTCTGGCTTTTCCTGGCACTAAATATTGGTGACAGGTGTCTTAAACTACCCACTGGAGCACCTGGAGTTCATTATCCACCCCAGACACAGCTGGAGCCCCGCCAGCTCGCCAAACACTCGTCTCCCACAGACCACGCGACGAGGCTGCGACCGCCGAGACAGACCTTCCTCTTCTGAGTTTCCCAGGCCACGAAAGAGAGTAAACACAGGCTAACCCCCTCCCCTGGGCCCTCCGCTCAAGGGAAGAGGGGTGTTTTTCTTTCCCTGGCAGCAGACAGACAGTAGGGCCATTCCCCATTTGGAGGGGGAGTGGGGTGGGAAGCCCTGTCTGTGAGCTGGAAGCAGACTCATCCTTCTCTGGATGAGCTTCTGGTCACAGGGACCAGATGCAAGGATTCTTCAGTTCTCCTTCTCACGTCCACCATCTTAAAGTGGAAAATCAATATTGCAGCTTTCTATGAAACAGGTGATTTCTTCTACTCTTAGAAGAAAAGGTTCTATTAGCGCTACGTTTTTGGAACCCCTAAAAGGTTCTATAGAGAACCCTTTTAAGGGTTAAATAATAAGAATTCTTTGTAACCAGGAAAAAGGTTCTGTATGGAACCTTTTGGGTTCATTCATTATCATTTGTTTTGTCGTTTCCGCATTAAATATTTCATATTATTGACAAACATCAAGACCCTAAAATGTATTTATGAATGCATGTGAATGATCACAAAATTCAAGATATGGGGGTTAGAAAATATATTATGTAGTTAATCAATATCACACGAAGAGTGCCATTTCAGTTCTTCTCCTCCAAAAATCAGCATGATTAAAATGTGCAACCCGGCCTCATCCCAAGACGTCATATAACTGACGTTTTGGGACGTCTTTTGACCATACGTTAATATTCGCCTTTTTAGGGCCCCCTTAAACGTCGGTAGATGAGGTTATGGGATCCTAACTCTACCCCATACCTAAACCTAACCCTAAACCTAACCCGTCACCTAACTGACGTTAAAGGTAAAGCGTCAGTTGTATGACGGCCCGGGATCGCCATCTACCGACGTTTAAGGGGGCCCTAAAAAGGCGGATATTGACGTATGGTCAAAATACGTCCCAAAACGTCAGTTATATGACTTTTTGGGATGAGACTGTGTTAAAATGTGATATTAAGTTACTACAACAGTTTAATAAACAATAATTTAATTACAACTACAAAATGGTGCAGAATAAAGTAATATATGAATTAATAATAGCCTATAAAGAACCTTTTTGTCATTATAGAACCTTTTTAGCATAAAAGGTTCTTTGGAGTTGAGTAAAGAACCCTATGTATGCTTCATAGAACCCCAATGAACCCTTTTTTCTAAGAGTGTACAAACTCACAGCATGTCAACCATGTAAGTGTTGAAAGACCAGCAGCAAGTGTTGTGACACATTTATGCAGATGAAACTGATCTATTGAGATCAGATAATCAATAAACATTCACATTTACACATGCATTTGGCAGATTTTATTTGAAGGGATTTCAAGCTATGGAATTTATACAATATTTGATTTTTTTTTTTGGATACACTCAACCTGAATTTATGGAATAACATTTTTTTCTGTTCATGAAAATGTATTTTCCTTTTGGAAATGTGATTTCTTTTATGTTTTAACAAAATATTTCCTGTGAATGTGAGAAGGATATATAAATTACAAGAAGAATAACAGTTTAATACAGTTCTTTGTGCTAAATAACAATGTGCTCATGATTATAGTTAAATTAAATGAATGTGGTAATAAATACACAAAAAAACTCTTGTTTCATAAAAACGCATCTGGTGTCATCTTTCATCTCCACTAACTGTAGTGAAAGTGACATTGGAAGACATCAGTATTTATATTATTGTAATATTGTTAGTGCCCATCTTTGTTGCTGGTCAAAAACTAAAACAAACAAACTCATTTTTTTGGGGGGGGACATTGTAAACTATTTTTTTTTTCTCAGCTGAGAATTTACCTGAAAATAATTTAAACTCTAATCGATATTTCATGTTTACATATTTATTTAGTTGGCAAGTAGCTTAAGCAAAATAATGTACAGTCAGCAGGTCATTATCGCAAATTAGTAAAAAGTTTAAACAGAATATGTACTTTTATGGAGCCCTACACATGACATTCTGGAAAAAAAAATTATATGAAGTGTTTGTTCTTTTGTTTTAGCTAAATCGTGGCAACCTTGTACTAATTACTTCACTCGTTTTAATTTAGTTAAGATCATGGGAAATAATTGTTAATTCATGGCCATGAAATCTCTGTACTTTTTAGGGCTTTATCGTTCTCATTCTTTTGCTTTGGATGCTATCCACCCTTAAGCTGCTCACTGATTCTTGTGGTTCCCCTCATCCATTCATCATCCACGGTGATTCATTTATGTGAGTAGCTATTTTCAAGTCTAATATCAAATTCATTTCCCTCTTGCTTTACACATTATCAAAACCACACATTAATTTTCTAGGGATTTTTCAAATGGACATTTCAAAACATGGTGGACTCATCAAAGCTAAATATTTTAACTGAAGTAGACTTTTCAATAACAAACAGTATAAAAGAGAAAAATCACCATTTTCATATTTATTGTAAAATTAATCATGCAAGGAGCATTTTCTACTTTTGATTTAAAGTAAGTTTCAGCTGTTATCTGCAGCTGGACCAAAAAAACTCAGTGCCACATTATATAGGCTATATTACTATCACATGTCTTTTTATGGCAGACCATTACTTTCACTTTATTTCACTGTCACCCAGCTCTTTGCATCCGCAGAGCAGTCAAACACTGTTTGTTTAGGTTTGTAAAACAAGTGTCTAGTCTGCTTGGCTTCCCATGCTCTTTTCCCAAAACATCCAGCACTATTCAGTGAAATGGACACACACACACACACACACACACACACACACAGTAGAGTAGTCAGGCACACAGTAAATATTTGCCCTTACCTGCAGTCCAGTGTCAGTGTTGGTACTGAGTGCTGCTTGGACAGTGTAGGTGGTGCTGGTGGTTTCTAATGGTGTGTTCTGAGGATGTGCTTTGTAAAGAGGGTAAGGTGTGCTCCTGCATCCCTCCTCTCCTCCGTCCTCTCCTCCTCCCTCCCCCTTTCTTCCCTTCAGTCCCAGCAGGAAGAGAGTGGCAGAGTTTGGGAACGCCCACATAAAAAAAACCCTTTCCCGGCTAGTGCCAAGCTCATGGGCTGCCTTCTGCTGTGTGGTGGAGCGGAGCCACACTGCCATAGACTCAGCCAAACTGCTGTCTACTGGTCTCCGCTTGCAGACAGACAGGGAGGAAGTTGTCGTTTCCCACAGAGAAGCACCCCCCCACACACACACACACACACAGACTCCCCGTACCCCTCCTCATCACATCAGTCCATTCATCCTCCCCACACACACTTTGTCTATTCCAGATCATCCTCTCATGTCTCCTGCTGTACAGTAATTTTGACTTACATACCACCACTGCCTAAACCCCCATCACTTCCACAGGCCATAGTGTAAAAACGCTTAATGGGAATCCTGATAATTATCCTAATAAGTACAATGACAAAAATGGAGATTAGTGTCTCTGAAAAGATATTGAAATGGTGACTGAGCAAACTAATGGAAAAAGAGAGCTCAACAAATTAAAAACTGTATTGTTTACTGTCTATTTATTGGAAAACAAACATTTCATTGTTGTTGTTCATTAAAATCCCATGTTCTGTCATGGCATTACATCTGTCAACTCTAGATGGCGTAGGCTGGGTCCTTAATGCAACCTGCTCACAATTAAATTGTTAACTGCACAGCACAAGCTGATTGGTTCCTGTTGCATCTGCAACCAATTAGCTTGCTGCTCAACATTTAAATAGTTGGTCAGTGTTTGTTGTAGCAGTTTACAGCACTTTTAGGCTATGTTTACACAGAAACGATTCTGAAGAGATCTGTTATCCCTTTTTATTCTACGTTTAGACGAGCGTTTTTGGTGGGAAATCCGCGTGCATGTGGTGACGCAAAAGAGTGTGAAATTCAATGTAGCATGCACTCCAGGCAGCTAGGTGGCAACGTGAAGCACTGCCACACAACAACATCAAGTCCACGCGCCTGCGTACAACCTTCACTGTCATGCAGACTTTTGCGTTTTTACCCTTTACACGGGAACGCGGCGGTGGAGCGTTTTTAAGATTTCCACTCTGGAGGGTGGTTTCACTTTTTTAAGTTTTTAAGCCCCAAAAACACCGTCACCGTGTAAACAAAAGGCACATCCAAAAAAATATTTTTACGTTTTCACCCACGAGCGTTCTCGTGTAAACAGGGCCTTAAAGGGTTAGTTCACCCAAAAATGAAAATTAAGTCATTAATTACTCACCCCCATGCTGTACCAACCCCGTAAGACCTTCGTTCATCTTCGGAACACAAGTAAAGATATTTTTGATTGAATCTGAGAGCTAGATCACTCTTCCATAGGCTTCCTAAGGGACTGGCTCTTGACGGCCCATAGTCTGCCCAAAGTCATTAAAGAAAAGGTTTAAATGTTCCATGTGCCTACAGCGGCTCAATTATAAGTTTATCAAGCGACGAGACTACTTTTTGTGCGAAAAGAACATAAATAACGACTTTATTCCACTATTCCATTACTTCCTTATGGGCGCATGCGCGAGAACTGAGACGAGGACGTTCTCATTCGTCTACTTCTTGTTACCGGCTGCTCACCGCTTAGGAGTTTTACCGCCACCTACCGTATAAGATGATGTGCTGGAAGCGCAAAACTTTCTGTTTACAAGCAGAGGAAGATGCGCGCTGTACAAACGCTTTTCAATTTGCGTATTTTCCGCACTATAAGGTGCACTTAAAAGCCTTTAATCTTCTCAAAAAACGACAGTGTTCCTTATAATCCAGAGCGCCTTATATATGGATCATCATTTTATACGGTAGGTGGCAGTAAAACTCCTGAGCGGTGAGCACCCGGTAACAAGAAGTAGACGAATGAGAACGTCCTCGTCTCAGTTCTCGCGCATGCGCCCATAAGGAAGTAATAGAATAGTGGAATAAAGTCGTTATTTATGTTTTTTTCGCACAAAAAGTATTCTTGTCGCTTGATAAACTTATAATTGAGCAGCTGTAGGCACATGGAATATTTAAACCTTTTCTTTAATGACTTTATGGGCCGTCAAGAGCCAGTCCCTTATGCAGTCTATGTAGGACTGATCCAGCCCTCAGATTCAATCAAAAATATCTTCATTTGTGTTCTGAAGATGAACGAAGGTCTTATGGGGTTGGTACAGCATGGGGGTGAGTAATTAATGACTTAATTTTCATTTTTGGGTGAACTAACCCTTTAATGTTCCTCTGAAACCCTCCACCTTCCCCAGCTCCACCTGATATATCTATTATGGATAATTTCATATATGCTATGCGTTTTATGGGGACTTTCGATAGATAAAATAATTTTCATACAGTAAAAATTTTATATTTTACCCCCTAACAAAAATCTGGTATTGTACTATGTGTAAGGGATGTAAATACAATTTATCTTGCTTCATGGATGATTATCTTACTGGAAATCAAGACAAAATTACTGATTAACTGTTTTTTTTTTTTTTTTTTTTTTTTTGCTGTGTAATAAAAGACTGGAAGGAAGACAGAGGAAAAGGATGGCGAAAACGGCTTGGGCACAAGCAGATAGTTGAGACCACCATGCCTGTGTGTGACGTGTACATTTATAGACCACATGTTCTCTTAGTTGCCTGTCTGTCTGCTCTGTACATTAGGGACGGTTCGCTACACTTATAGCTCAATCAAACACTCCTCTCGACCACAGATTTGTATGGTGATAGACATACTTCAGGAGATTTGCACAGTCTGGAAGTCTGGAGGAATGGTTGCTTTTTAAAAGCCTAAAATTACAAGGCAGAAAACACAGGGAAAGTTTGTGTGTGTGACACAGAGAAGGAGAGAGATCCTTCAATATTTCCAAGGCTGTGTAGGAAAAATGCTGATGAATTTCAGTTGTTAGAAACACACAAGAAAAAAAATAGAAGTTTTCCTTCATTCTAAACTGCGGATGGAAACCCAGGTGTATTTTGTGGAAATAAAAAAAAAAAGAAGTTAGGAATGAATAGACAACAACAATGCTCTCTAAATAGCGGTCTAATGTACCACACATGAATGCATCCACTACATTCATAGTCCAAACAAATGTTCTTCTCACACGACAGGCATGTTATTAGAGCCTAATTCGGCAGGGTCTGTTTTGGAACAATGAATCAGCTCTGCTATGCTAACTGATTGAAAGCTAAGGGCAAAGATATGGGCAAATAAGCAGACATGTATTTTAAAGTGCAAGTGATCACTATTTTCTAACAGTTTGTTGATGCTATAAAGAAAACATATTTTGGTACAGTGAACATGAATATCCTACTTGCTCCAGTCCATTTTTCATTCATCAAGGTTATTCCAAAGAGGGAAAAAAATTGTCTTTGTCATCAAAATTAAGTAAACGTGAAAATATGCTCTTCCTCTGAAAACGCGCCATCGTCACATAGGCCACACAGGATATTTGGTTAATGTTAACCAAAAGCCAAATACACTCAGCTGTTTAGTGTGTAATGTTGCTGCCCACATGAGCGATTTATAGATTATCATGACAGAATATGCTAATTGAAGATAGTTAATACCACATAAGCAACATAAATTCATCAACTAACCATTCAGAAACGTCCTGTTGTCACTTCTTGAGTCTCTCCATCATTGTATGACTCCAGTTTAACCCTCAAACCATATTCACTTTATAGCCCTTAATCCTGTAATTGTGGACAAATGTGGACATGAGGACTCAGGTGTGATCCTAATTTTTATTTATTATAAATGTTATATCACTGTCTTCGATAAAGTTTTGTCTATCCATTTATGGTGTTGTTTTTTTTGGGGTTTTTTATTTTTATTTATTTACTTCAAAAAGTACCATATTTTCTATGTAAATTATGCTTATTTTTATGTTTTATTTATTTATTTTTTTAACTACATTAAAATATCATTCTAATAAGTTCTTAGAGCTAAAACCTAAAGATGAAGTGACTTTGCTGTCACCTGGTGTCTTATTTTGGCTTATTTCAGAATGCTCTAAATTACAGTTTTTTCCCATTCATTTCAATGGGTGCCCATTTTTGACCCAAATACAAGATTAAGGAGCTTTTTTTTTTACACACTTAACATTGTAGAATTGAGTCAAAAAAATTGATGTGTTCAGGAGACAAACTTAGGAAAACTAGCCAAGTCTTGTACCGCTCAGATCAAGGGAAGTATTTTTTTTTTAAATAGATCAAAACTATTTTGCCCACATTTGTCCAGAATACGGTTTTAGGGTTAAACATGCAGAACAGTTTCTGATATTTTAGTGCTTGTCTGCGTGAGGTAATCGGAGCCAGTGTTGCAAACTATTTTCAAAGGAGAGTAGCTAAGGCCTTCCCTAAAAGTTGCTAGATGACGTCATACGTCAATTAGCATATTAATGACGTCATCGCGTCATACTTGCCTTCCGTCAGCCTAGTGCGTTTTCTCTGTAAATTAATGCTCTATTTAATATAATATAGCCAATATAATATATGTCAAATAAAGCTGTTATAATTTACTTTTTTTTTTTGTCATACAATAGAACGAGTAGCTATAATATGAATGATTACATTTTTTAGGCCTATTATGATGATATATACTTTATTGTCCCCGAAGGGAAATTTGTTTTGGACACTGTCCATTCCGTAGCTTTACAAGACAGCACAAGAGACAATTCACAACAATTATATGTGGAACATTATCTAAATTGAGAGAGTTCGGGAACTGGATGAACTAAGCTCTGTGATAATGAGTGTTACAAGTAATAAGCACAAGAAAAGAAATAAAATAAAAATGGTCAAACTAAATTCTTTAAAGAAAAGCAGATAAGTGATAAGTCTGTGGAAAAGCACTGTTCATTCGCGTTTGTCAGCGGCCATGCGCTTCTCTTAGCCATTCACTGAACTTGGAGATGCAGCTTGAGAGAGTGACGACAGGTAGAAAGCAAGACCTCGCGCTCGCAGGACAATACTGGCAACATTTGGAGGTTACTGACGTTTGTCCAAAAAGTCACAAAAATTGTTGCTAGTTGCTTTTTTTTAAATGATACTAAAGGGGTCTGAAAAATCGCTAAAAATAACGACAAAGGCGTTAAATTGGCAACACTGATCAGAGCTGCTAACACACAAGATCTTGAAGCTCCGCCCTCTGTACCGGGAGCAGCAGCTCATTTACATTTAAAGGGACACACAAAACAATGCGTTTTTTAATGACCCTCAAAAGGGGACAATTTTAACATGCTGTAAAACATTATCTGTGGGGTATTTTGAGCTAAAACTTTTTCAAAGGTCAAAATGTTTAGCTCAAAATACTTTTGTACATTTATACATATTATGAAAAGGGTCATTATACCACCCCTTTAAACATGTTTTAGACCTAATTACAAACAGAATGTTGTGTAGAGGTAAATTACATCCATTTTCAGATTTTCTGAAAATAATCATATAGGCTAATTTCAAAATTTGATTAATTTATTTTTCTCATTAAAATGAAATGATGTTAAAATCACCTGAAATAGGGACTTTATACTTTATATGGATAATGTTGACGATAACAACTGTTGAGACATCATTAAAAGAAATGCTTCCTTTATTGTATCTTCTTTATTGTATCTTATTGTATCTTCTAAGCTGGTGTAAGCAGATCGCAAATCTCGCGCATGCGTCGTGGAAATCTAAGGAATTCTCGTTCTGGCCTACAAGGAAGAAAAGAAATAGTCGAATAAACTCGTTATTTTTGTTTGTTTTTTCGCACAAAAAGTATTCACGTCGCTTGATAAACATATAGTTGAGCCACGGTAGTCACTTGGGATATTTAAACATTTTCTTCATTGACTTTCTGGGCCGTCAAGAGCCAGTCCCTTAGGCAGCCTATGTGGTAGTGATACAGCTCTCAAATTTAATCAAAAATATCTTCATTTGTGTTCCGAAGACGAACGAAGGTCTTACGGGGTTGGTACAGCATGGGGGTGAGTAATTAATGACTTAATTTTCATTTTTGGGTGAACTAACCCTTTAATTACACCTCAATCTAAAAATGCAAGAAGGCTATAGGCCAAATATGCTTTTCTGTCAGTATAAGTCAAGTATAGGCCAAGTTAAGTGTAATTTTGAGTATACTTCTGAGAAGTACATCAAAAGTAGACTAAAAGTTTTCTTGTTTTTAGTTCAAAAGAAGTATACTAAAGCACACTTGATTTAACAATTAATTTCTTCAAATTAAACTTCAAATCATTATTTTGACTTTGCAAGGCCAAATTCAGCAGCAGTGCTGTACAAAAATGTGACCACAGCGAGATGGACAAGTGAAAGCAATGATGTTGCACTTTTTAGCATGTGACCCCAAATGTGACTCCTCATTCCAGGACAGTGACTGGTCAAGAAAGTGGACTCTTCTGTAAGTATCTGAGGTTTGCAATCTCTTTGGTGTCTTGGAGAATCACGTTACAGAGTAACTTAGAGAATGTCGGGCGTGAAGAGCGCTCGGCACACTGCACCCTTTGTGCTCCGCTCGCAGGTGCAACAGCTGAGAGAAGAACAGCTGTGACTGACCAGCCACAAAGTTCATAGCAAGACTCTCCCTAGTGCTCAAAATAACAAAATAAGGACTTTCCTTACTGTTGTGGACTGTGTGAAGTCTTATTTAGAAAGTCGTTAAAGCCACATCAAAAGAGCCACAGGATACAGAATGGTAAGGTTAAATCGTCCCGTGGTGTTGCAAGAACACAATTATAGTTCATCTTGCTGCCATTTAATGTGCTAAATTTCAAAAACACTGTTTAAATGAGAGAAACGTCACTAAGTCGCATCTGTTTCCTATTGATTTAGAGTGAACAAGTCTTTTTGCCAGTTACGCTGAATTAAATGGATGCTGATGCAGATCATCTGATGCTTGGAGGAGTTTTTGACTAAAATGTTTCAGCAGCATAAATGAATAGATTTCAAAGATATAAAAGACATATTTTCACCACATGAAATGTGACCAGTACAAAGTAAGAACTTGTTCTTGGGTTCCCTTTATTCATTTAATAGGCCCTTGGTCTATCAGTACATCTGGTATGGGTCTACACAAGACTCACAGGTCTCTAACACAAACATCTTAAGCCTACACCTCACCAGAACCATTCACATTTTTTTACCCTCAGAACCACATTCACGTCAAACACAGATTTGCAATGACGCATCCAGGTGCTTTCGCGAGGCCAATGTCAATAACCCAAAAGAGACAGCTGTTTCTATAGCCACTGCTGAGGATCGATTCACCCATGAGAAGCTCAATGTCTGAGACTCAACACATTGCCGTCCAGACTGACCAGAGAAAAATACGTTTCAAAGAATTCTCTGTACGCCCAGTGGCGCACCAGCCATTTTTTTAATGCGTGGAAACACTTTAACTCAGCATTGACTCTGTGATTCCATAGATTGTGAAGTTCACCACAAATAGCTTCACTTTTGTCCCACTGCTGTTGTTCCACAAACCCAAACATGTGTGACAGAAGCGTGCCATGTGATTGCAGGCCTCTCCCTGTCCTCACGCAGACAGCTGCTGTTCGGATGACAGTGCACATACATACCCCTCTGAGCCATTTAAACTTTAAAGATCCTCCAGAGGAGGTTGTGAGCACGTGAGAGTTCCTTCTTCAACCTCTCGGCCGCTTCTCCAAGCGATCTGGTGGTTTAAAACAAACAGACAAGTTGTCGACAAGTGCTTTTATTTGGGTCACAATGGGAGCGTTTATCGCCAAGATGTTGCTGCCCACCATCAGCAGTTTGGTGTTCCTGCCTGCCGCCAGTGTGGCCGCCAAGAGGGGCTTCCACATGGAGGCCATGGTCTATTTCTTCACAATGTTCTTCATAGCGGTAAGAGAATGGGTGCTTTTATTGATGTGTATTGAAAAACAGCATTTTTTTTTATTCATTTTAAATATGTGTGGAGAAACATACAGTACTAAGAGATTGCAGTATCTTTACAGCTTGTGTATCTGTCATTAGTAATGATGTACTGTACTTGTGCTTAAAGGGATAGTTCACCCAAAAGTGAAATTTGTCATAATTTACTCACCCTCAAATTGTCCCATATTAGTATGAATTTCTTTCTTCCACTGAAAACAGAAGATATTTCGAAGAATATGGGTAACCAAACAGTTTATGGGCCCCATTGTCAATCTGGCACATATTCCGACATTCTTCAAAATATATTATTTTGAGTTCAGCAGAAGAAATAAAGTCATACAGGTTTGGAACAACTTGAGGGCGATTAAATTATGACAGAACTTTAATTTTTGGGGTGAACAAACTCTTTAAGGGGCCCTCCACGCAGAACACGGTCTTACAAAAAAATGGTAGAAAAGAATGTGCTTTTAACATAGACACACTGTCTTAATGTGGTGCTTGTGTGTGATGCGACACAATGGTGAATCTAATTTTGCATAGAAAAACAACATTACAAATGCAAAAAACGTACATAGAAATGACAGGTATGATATTTTCATCTCAATTAAAGCTAATTTTAGGTATATTATTTATTTTACCTTGACATGTCATCTGAACAAGATGAAGAAAAAGTTGTGAGAAGTGGTGCACTGGTCGAAGATGGATTCCATCGTATTGGAATGTAATGACACATTCTTTGTGACATGGCCCTGAATTCTCAATGCATTACAAAAACAACCAATAATGTAAAGTTTACAAAACTCAAGCTACTTGTTGGCCTAATCTGAACCACAACTGATAGTACAACTAGACGAGGCATATCTGACTACGGCCATAAAAATAGGGCTTGTTAATACATTTTTTTCCAGACAAGAACACGGAAAGTTTCATCTAATCTATTCTAGAGCCTTTTAAATTTACATTTATGTTCTCAGCAGATACCTCTCTATCAAGGTGACTTAGCAGTCATGTGTTTTCTCCATCTGTTCTCAGATTTACCATGCGTGTGATGGTCCGGGCTTGTCCATTCTCTGTTTCATGAAGTACGAGATTCTGGAGTACTTCAGCGTGTACGGCACAGCTATCTCGATGTGGGTCACACTACTAGGTGAGCAAATAATCCATATCCTAATGATGAGCAAATCTCAATGATGTTCTGCAAAGGTATAAATCTTTTTATAATAAAATACACGTGCACTCCCACGGGTCAAACAGTCAAACAAAGCGATTTAAAATATTATTTTTCGTGAGAAGTGTGACAAGTGTTTATATCTGGCATTCCGGTGTGTCACGTAAAAAATATGTGTCCATTTGCTCTCATCCAGCACTGGGAGATTTCGATGAACCCAAGCGCTCTTCGCTCACCATGTTTGGTGTGTTGACTGCGGCTGTGAGGATCTACCAGGACCGCTGGGGCTACGGCATCTACTCCGGGCCCATTGGAACAGCTGTCTTTATGATAACAGTCAAATGGGTGAGTTTGAGACACATCAGATGCAGTGCTTTTAAGGCTAAACGTTTACATTAATCTATATGCATTTGATAATGGCATTTTCGTTACAAAACGCTCTCCATCCAAACTAGCATTTTCAAGCGTTTTCCAAACATTGAATCTTCGGAAAACACTTAAAATGTAATAAAAGCTCACTAAGATGATACAGAGAGGCCAGACATTATACAGTTCTCATGCTGTCTTCTGGCTCGATTATTTTATTAGCAAAATATCCCATCAATTACTGATGTGTCCAGGTCACACCTTCCATTCAATGTATGGTTTAAAACACCTTAACGTTTTACCAAAAGACAGCAATTGCGAGTAAGTTTTCTGTCATCATTGCAGGAGTGTAATACGAAGATTGTACAAAGAACAAACATCTATCTTTAGCAGCATGTGCAAGTGAATAGAACATAGCTGGCACATGCCGGTATAAACAGATATCTATAGACCAAATGTAGCCCCGCCCCCTTTCAGCGCTGCGCTCGTTGTGTTCTGTCCTCCGGTTTTGATTGTGCGGATTTGTGAATGATGCGCTCATTTTAAAAATCTTCCTCAATCATTAAACATTCAAACCGCTTCAAACATTACACTCATAACTTTCGTTAACTCTGCTTCAACAGCTAATAGAGTGGCTAAGTTACGACGTCACTCTTTAGGCCAAAACGCGGAAGTGAGTTAGCATTTTAGCACTCATGGTTCTCTCGCTCTAAAGTCTATGGGATTTTTGAATGGGTTTTTGCTAAATCATCTGAAATAAGGTCTGTGGTGAACAAAGCCTCTAAATATTTTCACGTTTTGATCTATGACATAGAACGCACAGTTATAACCTGCTTGTGGTTTTTTAAACTTTATTGTGTCTGCTTGTGTCTGTTTTTAAAAACTTTATATACTGTAGGCTTCAAAATGTATAAATTTTGGATTAACTTGTAAAGATTATCTTGATAGACAAAACGAGTAAAGGTCACAACACTTTTGTTGAATACAGATCTTATTTTTTGAGATTTTCCAAAAGTCTATGGGGAAAATGCATTGCTTTTCGATCTAGGGAACCCATGCGCCGCGTGTTCAAAGTTCAAAGACAAAATTCTAAAGATGGATGCAAGGTTGTTTCTCTTTTGCATAAGGTCTATAGGTGCAATATGCGTCACATGACTAAACCAACGCTATCTCAAGACCAATTCGTACGAATTCGTACAAGTGAGTAAAAGGTGACTAATTTGTCTAAACCCCCAGACTGATCTCATGAAGTAGCGTGTGTATGCCACGCCAATTCGTATTTCCATTTTTGGCGTGCTATCAAGACGCATAATCGCCTTTCAGCGTGTTTATGAACGCCGTTGACTTAACGTTATATAAATATATGACTTACCTCAACCCCGTCCCTAAACCTAACCGTCACTGGGGTTAATGGCATTTATGACCGTTCCCTTACCATCCTAGGTAAAAAAAAGATATGACTTACCTCAACCCCATCCCTAAACTTAACCGTCACTGGGGTTAATGGCATTTATGACTGGAGATTTTACTGCGTGTACTGACACGCGGAATGACGCAGACGTTAATGGCGTAGACATACACGCAGATACACGCGGATAGCTCAAAATGCGTAGAGATAACACGCCACCTGAATCGAAAGTGGCGTGTAAGTTTACGCAAAAGTCATGATGTCATGTTGAAACCCCAGTGATTGGTAGGTTTAGGGGCAGGGTCAGAGGTAGGTTTAGCAAATTAGCCACCTCGTAAAATTCATCCGAATTGGCGTGAAATTGGGTTGGACTAAACATATGTCATCGGTTTCGAATTCTTCTGATTTCACAGTCCACACTACAATGCAAAAACAGTGAATTCAAATGTATTTACTTTGGAGAGTGTTTCAAAAAGAGGGGGAAAAAATGCCATCACGATGTGGATGAGAGCCCCAAACATAGAGAAACATATTTGTTTTCAAATGCATCAGATTAATCTAGTCATAAGAGCGGAGCTCAAATAAGCTTGATGAGGAATTGTATTTTGCTCATATTGACAACATGGAAACTCAAGATTTTATTATCAACCGCAGATGCTTTCACAAGGTTTTACAATATTGTTTTTTCATTGTTCCAGTTACAGAAAATGAAGGAAAAGAAAGGCCTTTATCCAGACAAAAGTGTTTACACTCAACAAGTGGGGCCAGGGTTCTGCTTCGGTGCTCTTGCTTTGATGCTTCGCTTCTATTTTGAGGTAAAAAATATGATGCAGCTCTTTAAACAGCTACTGCAACTGGAGGAACACATTACACAATTTGTTAGAAAAGCATGTTTGCGTAACTGCGGTAATGACTTGCTCATTTACTTCTGCAGGAGTGGGAATATGCTTATGTCCACAGTTTCTACCACGTGTCACTGGCTGTGTCCTTCATTCTGCTGCTGCCCAAGAAGAACCGCTACGCAGGGACGGGACGTAATGCAGCCAAACTTAACTGCTACACCCTCTGCTGCTGTGTATGATGCATCTTTTTATCAGAGCGAAGCTGTAGAGGTGCTTTCCTTATACTGAAAGCCTTTTTAAGATGACAAACAGTCTCATAGTGAGCATTTAAAGGGATTGTTCACTCAAAAATAAGAATTCTGTCATCATTATTTCTCCCTCACATTGTTCCAAATCTGAATCTGCATAGAGCCAATGTGAACTCGATCCTTCGAGAAACATACCATGTAAGTCGTCATTCACCAAAAGTCAAAAAGAGTTCACGAGAGCTCATTAGAGAAATAACAATCTCCAATATAAGACAAACAGTCAGATCTTTTCAATGCACAAAACTTGTCTGTGTTCTCAATGATTCATTATGGGAAGGGGAAATTATCAGCATATAAAGACTTAAAGGAACACTCCGACTTTTTGGGACTTTTGCCTATTCACCTTATCCCCCAGAGTTGGATAAGTCCATACATACCTTTTTCATCTCCTGTGCGTGCTATAAGTCTATTTGACACACCCACCGCTAGCCTAGCTTAGCACAAAGACTGGATGTAAATGGTTGCAGCTAGCATACTAATCCAACTAAGTGACAAAATAACGCAAACGTTTTCCTATTTACAAGCTGTGGTTTGTATAGTCACAGAGTGTACAAATAACAAAGTCACATGAGACACAGACATCTTTTAACCATATAAATACTGGGAACTATATTCTCAGAAGGCGAAGCACTGCTACTTGGGCGGAGTGATAACCGCAGTACCTGAGACACACCGTGGTGAGGAGCAGAGAGTTTGTTCAGAGTTTGGGTAACAGAGTCATCAATTTATACATAGTAAAAGCGTAGTTTACAATCATGGGTTTTCGCTGTATTGTAAAGAGCTGCGACAATAAACAGGGAAGACCAGGTAACAACATCACAGAATTCCAACTAAAAACGCTGACCGGATGAAGAAATGTATAAACTATGCTTTTTAATCTAGTAATTGCTGATTACTCCAACTCTGAACGAACTCTCTGCTCCTCGTCACAGTGCGTCTCAGGTGATGCGGTTATCACCCCGGCCAAGTAGTCTCATGTGACCTTGTTTTTGCACACTCTGTGACTATACAAACCACAACATGTAAATAGGAAAATGTTTGCGATATTTTGTCACTTAGTTGGATCAGTATGCTAGCTGCAACCATTTACATCCAGTCTTTGTGCTAGGCTAGGCTAGCGGTGGGTGCGTCAAACAGACTTATAGCACGCACGGAGATGAAAAAGGTATGTATGAACTTATCCAACTCTGGGGGATAAGGTAAATAGGCAAAAGTCCCAAAAAGTCGGAGTGTTCCTTTAATAGTAAGTACATGTACTTACTTACTATAGTAAGTAACTAACCCTAAACCTAACAGTAACTCTATAGTAAGTACATTAATTAATATTGCTCTTATTCGAGTAACTATGTCACCCTAAACAATTTTACACATGTATCTGACTGTGTCCTGCAGTACAACAAACCATCCTGCTACAATTACACCTTCTGCTACGAGTTACGCCCCCTGCAACAAAACAGCCAATTAGGGAATGTCATCAGAGCCCCTCCCCCGAGACCTGATGATGTCATCATTAGTACCGATCTTCTTCTACTACAATTTTCTGTTTTTTAGCTTCACTATCTCCACCTATAATGATTGTATCACTATAGATCACAGATGGCAGAATGAATCATGTTTGCTTTTAAAGAATTTAAATTATAAAACTTTACAGTAATTTTTAATTGTATTGAAGGGGTACAATAAGGGTTGGGTTTTGTTGCTACAGGCATGTTTTTGATTCTATAATTTATTGGCATTGTTTTTTAATACATTTTATTTAATGCATTAAATTCAAAAGCAATATAATTTAGCCTTACAAACAATTCCTAAAGCACAAAATAAATGTACTTGAAAAGATAATTTCAGCCATTGGCATTCTCACTTTTTTTCTTTCTAGGGCGTCATCTAACTGACGCTTTTGACCATGCGTCTAAATCTGACGTACATGGCAACCTTTAGCGTCAGTTAGATGACGCGGGTAGGTTTAGGTCTGGGGTAGGGTTAGGCTTAGACTACTAGGAGGCGCGTCTCATATTGACGCTAAAGGGTGCCATGTGCGTCGGATGTTGACGCATCAGTTAGATGACGCCTTGGGATGAGAACGGGCTACATTTGAAGGGACGTTTGTGCTGCGGAACGTCAACGTAGAGACTCTTCTCTAAAATTCTGTCCGTTCGTCACAAAAAAGGTTTTCATATCACTTCAGACGACTTTTTATGATACTTCTATGGTCCTTAGTCCTCGTTCATTGCAATTTGCGCAACTGTACCATGTCCATTCTTTCTTCACAGAAGAAAGTAAGTCTTAGAGGTTTGGAACAACATGAGGGAGATTAAATGATGACAGAATTGTCATTTTTGGATGAACTATACCTTGAATTTCCCAGATATTGTCCCTCATGTTAATCACACTCCTTTTCTCAATGGCAGACATCACAACCTCAGATGAAGGAAAAAGCAAGGACTATCTGGACTACTCCTCAAAAACCCTGGATCCGGACATGTGGTCCTGGCCTGCCGTTAGACAAATCCCTGCCACGCACCATGTAATGCAAGAAACTGTGTCTGTTAACAGCACCCTGAAAGTGAGGAAAGTTATACGACCTCCCAGCAGGCCAAGCATGCCTTGGACAACTTATTCGTAGGGATAGCATGATGCCCTGATAGTCAAAATCACTAAAAAGGTACTGAAATGTATGTTTAAAGACTCATTGCAAGATAAAGACTGTGACAGTGAAGACTTTCCCCATGACAAGGAGAGTTCATCCGAAAAGAAAAGACCAAGACCAAAACTGGATTTGACTTCTCAAATACAGCTGGAAAGTTTATGAGTCACAAAAACAGCAGACACATTATCTATCCAAAATGAATAAACTTTCTTTCAAAGGTTCCTCAGTAGGGACCACTTGTCTATGTCCATTTAAGAGACTGTAAAAGAGGCCATTAAATTCTTTATATTCATCAACCTGCCAGACAGGTCAGACATCATCTGGGTACAACTAAACTCTAAACTTAACCAGTAAAAAGAAGCAAACAACCGGTTTGATATATATTGCAGCGGGAGGAGGGAGATACATTCTTTGAATAAATCAGGAGGTTTGTAGAAATTGTTTCCATGTAAATATATTTATTCATTCAATTCATTTCATTTTATGTATCCATTATTATTTTTAATTTTTGAATAAAATCGTTTTTTTGATGATTTATTGCAGTATTTATTTTGAATATGTCTGTTTGTGTACATTCAAGGAAAATGAACTGTTAAATTACAACGTTGAGGAAAGAAAAATCTTGTGGCTTTCTTAAAACTTCATTGAATTTCAGACTTCAGTCCATTTAAGTCAGTCCATCTGCACGCTCCTAACACTCTCCAAAAATTACAAACACACGCGGCATGTTTTAGACAAAACAGTCTCCCAGCAAACGTGAATGAAATTTTGGTCTGCAAAGACTTCGTTGACTGGAGGCCAGGCCACCAGCTCCTATGCCCAGAGAAAGGTGTTTTTGTCTGGGGGGGAAGCTGGCAACTCGTGACTCTCCTGGCTGTCTGTCCTAATCTGCCAAAAAGAGTAACCATACACTTTTATTACACTAGTGTGAAGCACTTATGGGCTTCTTTATGACCACTGTCTGTTTAAAACCACTTTGTTCGTGGTCTCGGCACCCCCACACACACTGTCTGAGGAAACTCCACCAAGCCCCACCACCGCAAGGTTCATTCGAAAGCAAACGTATCTAGATTGCTGGTTGGCAGCATGAAATTCACAGTCTGCCACAGCCCTCTTCCACTTTTTTGTTTTTGAGGTAATGGATTTAAACCAAGAAGATCAACTATCTATTCCTTCTATCTCAGACATCTTTTTTTATGTTTACTGTTTAGCTTAATGTGCTTCTTAAAAACGTATAAACTTACTGTACTTAGTTCTGCTTAGTAGAACCTAATGAAAAGCTTAAAGGGTTAGTTCACCCAAAAATGAAAATTAAGTCATTAATTACTCACCCCCATGCTGTACCAACCCCGTAAGACCTTCGTTTGTCTTCGGGAACATAAATGACGATATTTTTGTTTAAATTTGAGAGGTGGATCACTACTACATAGGATGCCTAAGGGATCGAAACTTGACGGCCCAGAAAGTCAATGAAGAAAATGTTTAAATATTCGGTAACACTTAACAATACAGATGCACTAATATAATAATTCATGCTTAACTAATGCACGGATAATCATGAGTTAATGTATAACTAATGAAGAACTAAACCATTAATGAATGATTACTGCATTAGCAACTAATAAAGAGTCTATATGATTAATAGATTAAGTAATACATGAATTGCTATTAATTCAATGTGTCATTGTGTATTAATTCCTTAATAACATATTTTATGAACTAATAGTGTAAATTAATGTGTTAATTACCACACTTAGTCAAAGCTATGCACTTCAACTTCCAGTTGTCTGCTTTAATTAATCATTAGCAAATGATTTACTAAGGTATAATTATGTTATGACTTTACTTGTTGGGGCACATCATTATTAACTAGTCATTTAGTAATTGTAGTACATGAATTTGCAGTAACAATGAAGTAATTAATCATGTATTAATGCATATTAGTGTACCTGTCATATTATCTGGAAGTTGAAATACAAGGCTTTGGATCATTCTGGTAATTAAATGACACTATTAGTTAAAAAAATGAGTTATTATAAAATTAATCCACAATTTCATATTTAATTAATAACAATTCATGTATTAACTAATACATTAACCTTACAGACTCTTAATTAGTTCCTAATGTGGTAATTAATGAATAGCTTAAAGCTTAAATAATCATTACACATTAATTCAGTATGATTTGTCCATTAGTTAAGCATGAATTAATGCTTATTAGTGCACCCGTATTGTAAAGTGTTACCAAATATTCCATGTGACAACAGTGGCTCCAGTATAAGTTTATCAAGCAACGAGAATACTTTTTGTGCGAAAAAACAAACAAGAATAACAACTTTATTTGACTATTCCTTTTCTTCCTTGTAGGCATGAGACGAGAGTTCAAGAGATTTCCATGATGCATGCGCGAGAACTGAAAAGTAGTTGAAGGAGTTCGCAATTCTCGCACATGCGTCGTGGAAATCTCTTGAACTCTCGTCACAGGCTTACAAGGAAGAAAAGGAATAGACGAATAAAGTCGTCATTTTGATCATGGTGTCAACTCAAAGTAAATCTTCTCCGTTTTAAGCATATCATTGCTGTGTAAACGTACCCTAAACCCTCTGTTCAGTTCAGCTCTTTGTTCAGCTGGTGTCTTCATGTTACTTCTGTGTAGTTCTCGTGTACCGGAGTGTTTTGTTTTATTTAGCTTATTTCAATAAGACTGCTGCAAATATATCCTCGACATGCTTCTATGTGGATCCAACCCGTCAAACACGTGTTCCACACATATACAGAAATGTGCATAGTCTACACAGTATGCAGTACATAATGCCTAAGGAAGAAATATTAGTAAATTCTATTCCAAACACACCCATAGTGATGTACTGTAATCCTATTCACATCCTGACCCAGCCATGAAGGATAGATCTTAAACTTCTATCATTTTGACAATTTTAAATCTGCAGTAGGGGTTGAACCATGGAAATTTGTATTAAAAATAAATGAATAATGTGATAAGTGATAAGTTACTTCATCTTATCTACAAAGATAAACTGCAAGTCTAAAGATTATAAATCACCACAGAGCAATGAAACAATGAGATAGCCTTTTCACAGCATACCGAAGACTGGACTAAAAGGGTCATTACAGAAATTAAAGTTTTCGTTTCATGTAGGTTATGTTTTCTTTTTGCTCAAGGACAATAAATGTCAGAAAATTATGTCTGATTGTTCCATTATTACCATGCCAAACAATCTCGGGTTGTCTTCTCTAGAGGCTGAAAACATGTGTTGCACTATTAGCAAGGGAGTGTAAGTGTCTGTGATAAAAGTCTGGGATCAGCTGCCAGTGGTGTTTTTATACTGTTCTCTCTCTCTCTCTAGCTTTCTTCTCTCACTCACTTTCTCAGCTGTTTCCCCAGCTGCTGAGGACCTCTGAGCAGCAACAGCTGCTCCGAACAAAACAACTCCCATTGAATTATAGCAAAGAATGAACTAAATCAAATATAATTCCAAAATAATCTCTAATCTTAAAGGAAATATCATATATGATTCATATGGTTCCGACCTGTTTCTGTCTTTGTGGAACAAAAAAGAAGACATTAAAAAAAATTGTCCATATAGAGAAAGACATGGGGTCCAATGATGTTTGGACTCTAATGTTCTCCAAAACATCTTTGTTTGTTTCTCCACAGAAGAAATAAAGTCCTACAAGTTAGGAATGACATGATGGTGAGAAAATGAGAATCATGGGATCGTGTTTGAGTGAAGCATCGCGTTAAGTTTTTACTTCAGTAAACCCAAATTATTATGGGAGTAACAGATTACCCAGTCACCAGAAGATTCATTCCAAATAGTCTTCAACAATTGAGCCCAAAGCCCCCAAATTTCCTCCACACATATGCCTGTTGCCGAGCGCTAGACTCCTCATGTACAGGGTGGATAGGGGCCAGACGGGGCCCGTCATAGTCCAGGGGCTGCCTCTGCTGCAGGGCTCTTTTCACAGCTTGATTCAACTGACACCATAAACAGAAGAGATTAATGTCACAAGTTAACAGATTTAGCCTTTCTGAGAAAACACACATTTAACTGAGAATGATATAATACAAATGAAAGAAATAATTTTAAGAATCACAACCATTTTCTAATTGTGCTAAGATTATAAAAAAGGTTTCTGTGATACTAAATTAGCATATTGGCCTCCACAGGTACAGACTAAATTATAAGACTATATATGTTAATTGTTCAAATTAGTCATTTTAAATTTTAATGGTAATGTCTGTATAGTGATGGTGATAATGTGCCACTGGATCACTGTATTGGTCAGCATTTCCAATGCTACCAACAAGTAAATGGTAAATGGACTGCATTTATATAGCGTTTTCACAGACCCAATGGCTAACAGAGCATTTTACGTTTTGCCTCACATTCACCCATTCAAACACTCATTCATACACCGACGGCAGTGTCAGCCATACAAGGCGCCATCCAGCTCATCGGTGGAACTCATCACTTGGCCAGGTGGAACCGGGGATCGACCCACCAACCTTCCGGTTTGTAGACAACCTACATGAACCACTGAGCCACTGCCGCATTTATTACAGCCACACTATGCAGGATTCCCGTTTTTGTCAAACTGTGACCCCTAGAGTCGCTGTGGAGTACTTGTACTGTCAAATAGCACTCACAGCCTGATCCCCTCCCCCTGTATACCGGTACCTGTTCAGTATGATGTAAGCTGGAACGAGTGGAAATAAGGTGTGTCCCCTTTAAGAGCTGCGCCCTGTTGAACTGTCGGCAGTCTGTATTGTATGTGCCTCAAACAACACATGTATACAGCGCCGGGTTATTTCTGTTTGATGCTCATTTTAGCAGATCTTTCTTGACGTAAAGCGTTTTGTTACATCGCGAGACCTGATATCACGCGACACTTCCTGATGCCGGCGGCCCGCCAGCTCAAATTTGCAAGTGTGTTTTTTGCACTCAAAGGGGGGGACGCCCAACCCGAAAACAGTCATATAACCATTGCAATAACTCCGAAGCTATTCAGATAAAAAGAAAAACTGCATAGTGCTGCTTTAATGTGAATAAATGCACTGTAAAAAAATATTGATGGTTTAACTTTAAAAAGTAAGTAACCTGGTTGCCTTAAAATTTTAAGTTCATTGAGCTGGAAAAAGTGAGTTAATACAATGAAGGAGATTAATTTAACCATCAGAAACTCAAAATTATATGTTATCTGAACTAAATAAATTATTTAAGTTGATTTGACAAAAGAAAAAATGTTGTGATTACTACACTGTACAAAAATATTGTTGGTTTAACTTAAAAAAGTAAGTAACCTGGGTTGCCTTAAATTTTAAGTTGATTGAACTGGAAAAAGTCAATTAATACAATGAAGTACATTAATTTAACCATCAGAAACTCAAAATAATAAGTTATCTCAACTAAATAAATTATTATAAAGTTGATTTGACAAAAGAAAATATGTTGTAATAAAAAATCTTGAAAATGTTTTTTACAGTGTGTAATCACATTTCTGCCACAGGTGTACCTGTTTTCTCTTGACTAGTTTGCAGTGCACCTCTGGAGTGACATATGGATCATCCTCAGCTTGTAGCTTCTGTGAGGAAGTTTGTGATTGGCTGTCGTCTTTGGCAAGGGCCATCCTGCCAATTCTAGCAGAAATTCTAGCATTAAACCTACATTCACACAAATGACCATAAAATCTGAGGATATAAGAACCCAGGGATTATAAGATATAAGATTGGATATAAGATGCCTGGTGCATTACTATAATCAAACTAAACCTCAGCAAGCTCAGTATGCATGCCTACAAACCTTGACACCTTGGATCCTGCCATTTTGAATGCTTGACTCTTTTCCACCAGCAGGGTTTTGACTGACTGTGCAGTAGCACAGGACATAATATCAGTCAAGGAGCATCCTGGGAGCAGACTCAACAGCAAAGGCACCACCTAAACAGAGATTTAGGAATAAAAAAAAATCAATTTAAAGATTTTCTTTTTAAATCTAAGGTTTTATGCACACTTGCTATTTTTCAAGTTATTAAAAAAAAATTCAAAAAATTAAGATAAAATATATCACACAAAATATTTATTCGGTATCAAAAAAAACAACAACAAAAAACGGCCAATAACTTTATTTTTAAAGTCACCATGAGATCAAAATGGACAATTCTATTAGGATTTAATACAATGACAAATAAAGCTGAAATAATTAATTTTGGAAACAACACGTTGTAGCCACTTTTGTATTTTAGGAAGGGAGTCCTTCAGGAAGGGGATTATAGGTCCTTGACATCATCAACACTTTAGAAAACTTTTTGCCAATGTTTGATTGCCCTGCTGAAAAATCCAGCATAAAGTATGCTTTGCATGCATGTGATGCTGGTTTGCTGGTCACCAGTGCTGGTGGACCAGCCAAAGGAGCTGAGTTTTGCTCGAGAACATTACGACTATTATGTTCCACCAGCACTATACCAGCTGAATTGTTGCTGGTTTATGCTGTATTTTTAAGCAGGGGACACCCACCATAGTTTGGGAATGTGACAAAGAGACGAGAGACTTGCCTGGTCATTGGTGGGCTCTAAGATAAGAACACTGATGGCATCCTTCTTGGCCTCTTCCATTTTGGCCACTTTGTAATAAGCTTTGGCCCGATTTTCATAGTAATGAACTTCACCAGGGTTGTACCGTATTGCAACAGAAAACTTGTCTGCTGCTTCCTGGTACTTCCTGGAACAAATCACATTTCTAAAATGAGCTCAAAAGGCATAAAATAAAGAAATACGTTTTTAATTTCACATTTAACACTATAGTTTAATCCTACTTGTCGTCATAGCTGTGCAGACCCATTGTGTTGTGAATAACAGCAAGTCGTAGCCAGATAACCATGTTGTCAGGGTCCATCTCCTCTGCTTGCTGATAGTCAGCCAGAGCAAAGCTCCACTCACAAAGCTTAAAAAAACAATCTGGGGAGGGAAAGGAGACAGATTTTCTCTGGATAATTCAAATTCTATAACTTTAAGCAAAGTGAAACAAGCAAAACATTCAAGAATTTTCATTTCAATAACCTCCCCTCTGAATACTTTTCTGAGATTTTTCTAAGACACTCTCAGCCCAACACCCGTTACCTAACCATGGGTCCACACACCTCCTCTGTTGATGAACAGCTCACTTGCATTTCTCAGTTTCTCTATGGCCTTGTTCAGCAGTTTAATGGCTTCGCTTTGCAGACCCCGGGAGAAGCACTGAATTGCAAAATCATTATATGTGAGCGCCAGTTGTGTCTGAGCGTCTTCCTCTAAATCCTTGGAGTCGTCTTGCGTGCGTTCCTGAGGAGGTTCTTCTTCAACCCCACAGAATTCAGCAGCAAGAACTAAATCCTCAACGGCAGCAGTGAAGTCTCTCAGGCGTCGATAAAGTATCCCCCTTTGAGCAGGCAGAATAAAAGTTCATTTTAAAACCATTGACATTATATGTCTACATTATATGTCTACTTTACTATTTGATTTGATTTGATTAAAAGCATTTACAAAGCATCTAGTAACAAGATGGGTCTAATGCTTATCACAGCTGACTGGTTAGATCTTAAAGATTACATTTTAAGAAGCTATAGCTTAAAGAGCTAAAATAATAATAATAAAATTCATAATAAAATTTGTGTCATTTGATTCCTTTACAATTCTTGCAAAATATGGAGAATCGTAATAACACATGATCAGTGTCTCTAAATGTTTTACTGTTAATGTATGTATTTTGCAAAGAAACGCAAAATCAAAAAAGTTATAATAATTGTAAAAGAAAATGTATTTAAAAACTGAGTTTAGTACATATGTATATATAGTTAATGAGTGCAGAAGGTACTTAACTTTTTTGTTAGATTTCGGAAGTTTTACCTTTCACTGTGAAGATCTAAACATATTTAGATATATCGAAATCGTCTTCCATTGTGTTTTCCTGTATATCTAAATATTTTTAGATCTTCACAGTGAAGGGTAACACATCTGAAATCTCTGTGTAAACAATGAGTGACGTACACGCCCGTGCCTTCAGATCACTTGGACGTGGCTGTGGTTACAAGAGGTAAAAACGATATAAATACTGTTTCTTTTTCTCACACAAACTGCTCGTTTCATGTCTTATGCCATCAATGACAAGAACGGTTTGACCTAAAAATATCAAAATTGAAAATACTGTGGAAACAAAGACACCTACATCTCGGACGCCCTTGAGGTAAGCTAAAACATAACCTCATTAAAGTAAATACCACTGGTTTAAATGTGGCATAAATATAATTTGTATTTTATGCCATTATCACAAATAGCCAATTCTTAAGCAAGCTGCAAATGTGCAGCTCTTCTAAGCCTTACCTAAAGAGGTAGTAATGTGCCTTATGGGGGTTATACTTCAGAGCGTTGTTTATTTTCCTCAGTGCATCTGAAAGCTCTCCCTTCAATGCCTTATCAACAGCTGCCTGATGGGCATTCTCCGCTGCTTCCTTTAGCCTCTTCAGCAGTGCATGTGCAACCGGACAGCAGGGTTTCAGCCTGAGTGCTGACCTCAAATCATGATAGCACAAAGTCATCTGAGGAGACAGCCCTCTTATCTGTTAATTACAGTCACTTGAAGGGAAATGTTTTTCCGTGGGAATGATGAATGATGGTCTGACCTGATTGAGCTGGTGGTGAAGACGAGCTCTCAGAATGAAGAGGTCAGCTGACTGGCTGTCCGTCTCTAGCCAGTTACTGACCAACCGAAGACAGTCAGAGTAACGGCCCAGAGCAGTCAGACAAGCCAAGCTATGAATATATATATATATATATATACAAAAAGGCAAACATAACAAAAAGTTATGATCTCATGGTATCCACGATGGCCCAAAACAGCGTTCGGACACTTTTGAAGACTTGCGTCACAATTAAAAATGAGTTGCATTGCATTAGATCCAAAATATCATATCAATCAGCTAGAAAACTAAATAAATAACTGCACTTTTCTATGGCGTGTAAGTAGTATGGCGTATAACCCTTTCATACTGTTGAGAGTAATTTTGACACTGTTTAGACTTTAACCTGACTTTTCAGCCTTTTTCAGCTTTAGAAAATGACATGCTAAATAAAATTGTTAAATGTTACAAGTGGAAATTAGTAATAGGTTGGTCAATTGTTTGGTGTCCAAATACCTTCTGTCTTCATCTAGGCCTAAAAAATTTATAATAAATGAAAAGAAATTTCTTTTTGCAAAATGTTTTTCATGAAACTATTCTATTTGAAGGCTTCTGAACTATATTTCCATATACTTTGATATTTAGTAAGAAAATGCAAAGACATTTACATATTTTTAAATGTGACTTCAATTTATGAATACATTTCGTTTAACCTTTTAATCAATAATATATCAGTAATGTTTAATTATGTTACCCTATAAAATAATCAAACATTACTGATATAATTATGCATATGCACATACACATGATGGAAATTTAAAGAAATACTAACTGAATAACTGAAATAATAACTGAATCTTAGGTGATAGAAAGGTGAAGAAAGAGCTTGTAGCGCCACCTGGTGGTATTTTATGCTATTGTTTGTTAGCATGGGGTTATTTTAGCTAGTTCAGATGCATGCAGATTTCTGCCCAGTCCAAATACCTTTTGTTCTTTGCACTTGACCACTTGACTACTTACATGAAAAAGCCTATTTCCTTTATTTGGCCCAAGTGTTCAAGTAGGCGTGAAGACTGCAAGTGTGTATATATATATATATATATATATATATATACAACAAATGGTTTTTTATTTTTATTTTCAATACTTTTCATGTTAAAATAAACTTCTAAATGTCTGTTCAGTAGTCACTATGTAACTAACAGAAGAAACAATTTCAAAATTGTTCTAATTAAGAGATACAAGTTGTATCGATGTACAAAATCCTCATGCCTCACTCATCTTAGCACCAATAAAGTGTGCAACACTTTGTTTTATTGCCAAAGTATATGTAATATCGGTAACACATTACAATAAGGTTCATTAGTTAGCATTAGTTAATGTATTAATAAAATTAAATGTATTAATACATTAACTAATTACTGTTTTTGTTAATCTTTGTTAATGTTAGTTATAAAAATACAGCTGTTCATTGTTTGTTCATGTTACTTTAGTTCACAGTGCATTAACTAATACAAACTTTGATTTTAATAAAGTATTAGTATATGTAGATGAAATTAATATTAACTAATATTTACAAATGCTAAGTATTGTTCATTCTTAGTGTTATCTAAGTTTGTTAACTAATGTTGAATAATTAACCTTATTGTAAAATGTTACCGAAATATCTCATTAATTTTTACTTAATTTTTTATTTAACTTACAGTGGAATGTTTTCCACGACATCTTGCGATTGCATGTGAATTCCCAAGCATAATGCATGATGGCATACGCTTAGCCTCGAATAATGCACCGAAGCGGTTTTCGAGATAATGAGGGTTTAGTGTGCATCAAGGGCACTGAGCTTTGCCATTTTGAAGACATGGGACAGTCAAAAGTGGGTATCAGGGCATTCAAGTCTCTTTGAAAGGCACTTAAAAAATCTACTCTGACCTTCTCATGTGATAGGGCCGGAAGCTGGGTTTAAGTTCTGCAGCTTTCGTGAAAGAATCCAGAGCCTCCAGAAACTTTCCCAAATCAAAAAGACACTGGCCCTGCAATGACAGTTAAAACATACACACATAAGTGGGCATTAAACATGTTTGTGGCAAAGAACTGTTGTGATGGTGGCTTTAAATTTCTGCACATTTTTTTCATGGAAAATGCATTGATAACATTGAAAATGTCAATGAAGTAATCAAAACTGAATGGATAGGCCTACATTTCAAAACACAAACAGAAAAAGTGATCCATAGATTGTAATATTCAGCTCCTAATCTGATTTCTATTAAATGTGAATAAATGAATTCTTGTACCTGTAGGTAGTATATGAAGGCAAGTCGTTGAGGGTAGGCCTCAGTTTGTGGTTGGAGACTGCAGGCGTGTTTGTAATCTAGTGCTGCTGACTGGAAGTCACACAGTTGAAGATATGCTTCAGCTCGCTGGACATAAAACTCAGTCTGCAGTTATTAAGAAAATAAAATGTGATAAATGTTCAGGGCCAAATAATTATGACGTACTGTATACAAGCCATAATACAGTCTGCCTGGCCACTACCTGCTGTGGCTGGAGCAGGATGGCCTTTGAGAAACAGGACACAGCCTTGTCAAACTGAGACTGTGATATGGCGCCAACACCAGCTTCATAACTAGAAATGTATTGTAGGCATATGTAAGTATGGTTCTCAGTAAGATTATGTGGTTTTGTTTATAAACATGTTTACTTACTGTTTATCAGCCTTTTCTTTTATTATGAGCTCCCCAAATATATGTTTCTTTTTCATTTCTGGGGTCTGAAAAAGAAGTCACAATATTACTGTTTTTACTATCAAATAAAAGCAGCCTTGGTGAGCATAAGAGACATTACCCAGACAGCAATATAGTGTCTGCCCAAATCCGGCCAGTACCAGATGTGGGCAAGATCTGGGCCAACACTATATTGCTGTCTGGGTAACCTTAATTTAATTATTCCAAACTTTTGACCCTCAGTGTGTGTGTGTTCATTTTCATACCATAGATTCCCTGATATTTTTCTTGGATGAATCAGACATGATCAGGAATGATTCTTCCTTCTGAAAAAACAAACAAACAAACAAAACATAAACATGAGTTTGTACAAGTACAAGTATGTAACTTAACTTACTCTCAGACACAGCAAAATAATGTTGTACACATATTAAAAAGTACAAACCTCAGCACAGTCAGCAGGTATATTGACAACACGTAAACGACTTAAAATGACTTGACTGAATAAAAATCCTCCAGGAACCTCACGTATGTTTCCCACGTATGTTTGTAACCAAAGAAAATCGACAAACAATGCAGGGCCTTCCAAAAGCACTTACTAAAAACATTAAGTAACTATGGGAACAGTTGAATGTCATAAGAGAGAGACAGCCGCATGTAGAATTTCTTTTTTTCTAAGCAATATCTTTAAAAAAGAAAAAGAAAAAGGCATTTCATGTAAAGTGACAAATAAATAGATAAAATAAACAAACAATATGAATATAGTCAACATGTACTTTGTGTATAATTACATTTTGGACAGTCTGTTGTAAGGACAAGCACGGCAGAAGAAAAGTTGGGACTCTTATTTTGAAATCAATGGCCGTCTTTATTATTGTCACATGCATCAGCTGACAACAATGACGCTGGTTTACTGAATATGCAGTAAATTGACCCGTGATGTCAAAACATCGCTGGCTGGACTTGTTCGTTTTTTATTTGTTGTTATGTATGACATAAAAACACAATTTGTCTGTGGCTATCATCTATGAACTGCTTGATTACTTGATTATCATTTTAGAGGAGACACGATGGATCATGAGACCAGACCACTGTTGGTCAATGATGAGCAAACAGAAGAAGACAGATCCGAGCAGGACTCATACCTGGAGTAAGTGTCACTTTATTAAAGGGGTTTTCTTCTTACAAAAAAAAAAAAAAAAGGTTCCGGGAAGATCTCAAGTACAATAATGGTTGTCAATGTGGTTCAAAAAACATCATGGTTTGGCTGTCCTCAAATTACTACAACTGTTTTGTTGTTGTTGTTTTTATATAGAATTGGCACTTAATAGTGTTTACTCAGTAATCTGTTCAAAATGAATGAGGAATTATTCAAATGAAATATTATCATACCAGAAAAACTGCAATGACTTCTCATAAAGGGTTCCCAACTGGAAAACAAGTTCAACAAGAATTATGAAACAATATGTATTGTTTATTCTCTCATTTTAACGCTTCGCTCAACAGTAAAGTTAAGAATGGGAAGTTGTACATGGCCACATTCGCAGCAGTTCTCGGACCGCTGAGTTTTGGGTTTGTGCTGGGCTACAGCTCACCTGCCATACCTGAACTCTGCAAAATTCAAGACCCGAGACTGCAGCTCAGCAAAGATGAGGCTTCCTGGTTTGGGGTATGTGAATGCTTTTGGTCTGGTTTTACTTCTAAATGTGACACTTTTTTTACAACAATTTGGCAGTACAATAAAGGAAATGCTTGTCATTGTCAGTTCCCACAACTTACATTATCATTGTAGTGTCAGAGGTGGAGGCTGTTTAAAAGAGAACCAAACTCTAAATGTACTGTAGTTGTAAGTGCATTAACATTTGAGTGTCAAAAAAATACTGACGCTGGTTTAGATGTTTCAACATTAGCCTATACTTTTCTGTCTTATAGGCTGTGGTGACCATTGGTGCGGCTTTTGGAGGTCTTCTGGGAGGATGGATTGTGGAGAAGATTGGACGAAAATTGAGCCTTATGTTCTGTGCAATTCCATTTATCTTTGGGTTTACCATTATTATTGCTGCTCAGAACCACTGGATGTTATATGTGGGCAGAGTTCTTACTGGTCTGGCCAGTGGAGTGACTTCTCTTGTTGTACCTGTAAGAATTCAATTTTTATTCAATTGCCATATGCAGACTGCAGAGTATAATAATGACAATCATAATAAAAGTATTGACTAAATTCTTCTTATTAGAGACCGTTAAAAGCAAAAATCCCATTCATTTTCTCCATAGGAGAATTTCTTTTTAGCGATAACTGACTGTGTTGAAGACATCAGTCCACCACATTTATTTCAATTCTTTTTTTTTCCCTTCAAATAATTATGTTTAACAGAGATATGTGTGTGTACATATATATATATATATATATATATATATACTCATTGCTATTTAGAGGAATTGCACATTATCCACTTGTCTTGTTTTTTCTCTCTATTTCTGCAGTTATACATTTCGGAAATGGCTCATGAGCGTGTTCGGGGAACTTTGGGATCCTGCGTGCAACTTATGGTTGTGATAGGCATTATGGGAGCCTATATAACAGGTATTGGCTTTCATTTTATTCTTGTGACTGCATTATGACACTTGAGTGCCTTTGATAGTAATAGAGCTATGTAAGATGATTGTTAATGTTTAAACAGAAGACACATTTGAACATATGTCAATGACATCAGCGAGATGTTGCACATATAATGACTCTTTTCCAATGTAGCCCTGCACGCCAATACTTAATTTGTTCTTTGAAATCTGCTCCGATGCGTGTGCATGCCATCCTAATTTTTGAGGAATGACTCCACTCGAGTGCCTTTCTGTAATGCATTAGTAGGATAGGTCTGGAGTTAGCACAGGAATGTCCCTCTTCGAAATGCACAGAGCCTGCATTGTACATGGCTCTGTCTGAGCTGCGTTTACATGAATAGTGTGAGAACTTGACCCATACTGTGTGATCAGTTGTAGTCGAGTAAATGATGACAGAATTGTAATTTGTGGGTGACGTTTGCTTTAAGTAATGCTAAATTAATTTTATCAGGTTTGTTCTTGGACTGGCGATGGTTAGCAATCACATCCTCTATCCCTCCTACACTAATGCTGGTGTGTATGTGCTTCATGCCGGAGACGCCACGGTTCCTGCTCTCCCAAGGGAAAAGAAGAGAGGCAGAGGAGGCCCTGCGCTTCCTCAGGGGTCCTGATGCCCCTGTAGAGTGGGAGTGTGCTAGGATAGAAGAGGCCTACAAAAATGAAGTTAGACATAACGAATTTCTCATTTCACATCTCAAACTTTGTTTGGTCTCGACTCTCCATATAAATTTTGAGCTGCTTTTCAAAATTAAAAATCAAAATGAATTGGCTTTTTACTTTTATAGTGTGAATTATTTTTGAGTGAACTGTAAACTCGATGACAAAAAATATTGGGCAACTTAAAGGGCCTGTTTACACCTGGTCACTTCATGCATTTTAACTGATTGGATAAATGTCTCTGATTAGAATATAAATCCAATCTTTAATTCTCACACTGTGTGCAAATTTATATAGTTCATGTCATAGAAAGCAACAGGTATGCGCTGCATTTTATCAGCTTTGTCATCATCCACGTGAAGTGATACCATGTTTAACGGTACAAGACATTAGGAAAATATGAGATATGAATGTGCCGTCACATTACATTGCTAAAATATCATTTAGTAGCCTATCCTTGCAATATTCAATCTTTTCCACTGGCCAAAATGTATTTTTAATTGCTTTATATTTTTCATGAAAACAGATAGGCCTTTTTGTGCATTATTGATCATTCATTGCATGAAAATATATTCTCAGAGTTCTGCTATTATCATGCGCTAAGCAATCCTCGCTGTAGTTAAAATATTAAAACACAGCATGCCACAGGAAAAGTTTTCAAAAGCATCGCATCAATTACAAATATTTCTATTTATTAAAATAGAAAAAAATGTTGTAACTTCTCTGTAATGATTTCATGTAATTTAAGTGCTTGACTCCAGTAATGAGAATGGCATATTTAATCTAAATGTGTATATCAGATGTAAAACATAAATAAAGGAGTGATTTAAACTAAGTGTTAACGGGCCCAAAGGGTTGGTTCACCCAAAAATGTAAATTCTGTCATAATTTACTCACCCTCATATTTTAATTTAAATAAAGGCTTTTAATTTAGGCTTTAATTCAAATACATAAATGTATCAATATGCATTGATCTAAGGCACATACATGGAGCAGAAAAAAACATCAAATGTGGTAAACATAAGCTCAACTGTGCTTGCTTGATGTTCAATCTCATTAGTTCCCATGGAAGGTCAATAATTATATGTGGAAAAAAATGCCTAAATTAAATCTGTTCATGTTGAAAAGCAGTCATGTTTTTTGATGTTTTTATGAACTTTCTTTCAGCGTAATTGACAGAAACTCTATAGCTTTAATTGTGTCTAACAGGAACAGATTGAATCATTAAATATTGGTGTAACCAACCAGAATTTATGTTTTATTTTATCTTTGGTGACTTTAAGTTTATCTCTCTTTACCATAGCTTTTTTTTATATTTAACAAAGAAATATAATTCTTTGCACGGTGTTAATGAGTCACTAAGATTGACATTTAATTGATTACAGGAGCAAAGCTTCAGTCTGGCGGATCTGAAGGACCCTGGCGTCTATAAGCCTTTAGGCGTAGGCATTATGATGATGCTCTTCCAGCAATTTACTGGCATTAATGCCATCATGTTTTACGCAGAGACGATCTTCGAGCAGGCCCATTTCAAAGTGAGTGTTTGAAACTCATTTATGAAGAGCCTTCATGCTACGTAAACGCACACTGTAATGTTATTGTCTGCCACAGAGCAGCGATGTGGCCACTGTTATTGTTGCAGCCACACAAGTGTTCTTCACTGCAGTTGCTGCTGTTATCATGGACAAGGCTGGGCGGAAAGTTCTTCTCATCTTGTCTGGTAGAAGCATCTTTCTTGGAATAATACATTTGCACCACTGTTTTTGAAACAAGAAAATTAATTATCTTCTAATTTGGTTCCCCCACAAGGTGTCACCATGTGTGTTAGTGAAGCAGTGTTTGGAGTGTATTTCAAGCTGACTGTGATGAAGCACAATAACGCCTCACTGACGAGTTTACTAACAGACGCCCAGGGTCCACTGGCGGAGCAGTCGCCGACAGACCTGACCTGGCTGGCTGTGGGAAGCATGGGCCTTTTCATTACTGGTTGGTAGAAATGTATTTCCCTGAAACTTACCATAGAAAAAAAAAATTCAGCAGCTGTATTAAGATATGCTAAAACAATGCAAGATGAAATGTTCAGATTATTCTAGCCTAAAACTATTTTAGTATGTGTGCCAGGGGTGTAACAATTCACTGGTTTTCTCAAAGCATCGATTACAATTATGGATTTTTGATCTTTATCTTTCTTTCTTCAGTCGAAAAGAAATTAAGGTTTTTAGTTCTGTGTGACTCTCCTGTTCGAACTCGTTCATCAAAATGAACGAATCTTTTCCCGAGTCAACTCGTTCATTTCGTTCGTTGAATGAACCAAATGACACGAAAAAATATTCGTTCATTTTGATAAACAAGTTCGAACAGCTTATAAAACTTAAACTTAGTTTGTTTTGTTTTTTTCAAATGAGCGATCGTTTCGCTTGATAAGACCCTTATTCATCACCTGGAATCGTTTAAAGCCCTTTGAACAGTTTGCAGTTTGCACTGAAACTGTCTTTTGGACCTTGAACCGTTTGATTCCCAGTAAAGTGCATTATATGGAGAAAAAACCTGGAATGTTTTCATCAAAAACCTGAATTTCTTTTCGACTGAAGAAAGAATGACATGGATATCTTGCATGACATGGGGGTGAGTAAATTATCAGCAAACGTTTTTTAAAAAGTGAACTACTCCTTTAACCGAAAACACTTCATGGACTTCATGTTGGACATTTCATGGACTCAACTGTCACAGTTTTCCTTATGTAGCCAATGGGGAGGGACTATCAAACTATGTTGCTGGATGACAAAATAACCTTATATAATTCATACACTAGATCAGGGGTTCTCAACTCTGTCCCTTGAGAGCCATTATTAGCTCAAACCTTGATTAAACTCACTGCCTATAACTTTATAGTAATCCTGAGGACCTTGATTGGCTTGTTTGGGTGTGTTTGATTAGGGTTGAAGCGAAAGTATATGGTATAGATCAGTGGTTCACAACCCTGGTATTGGAGTAAAAACCAGGGAGCATCGACGCTCACTATGCTACCTTATGTTACATTTCTGAAGCGCATAAAACATAAAACGCACGAGCCAGCTCAATAAATATAATGACACTGAAGACGGAAGATTTGAAAAGACAAACTTTGTTTTATTACTATTATATGTCAGCATAAACACAAATCACTAGACAGGTAGTGAACCCATCTAGTTAATGGTTGGCTGAAATGTTGAAATGATATGAAACAGAACAATGTGTTTTAACGGCATAAAGAATAATATCAAAAAGATAGGTTCTGCCTGTTGTTCGTTCAAAGTGGTGACCTGCTACGACATGTAATTTCACCGTAAATTGAGTAATCGCTGTCTAAATGGGATGGGTAGTAAGCCAGGGTCCTTACCAGTGCTCCAATTCGTGTACCAGATATACTTATTCACTAGCTCGGAAGCTGATTGAGACGCACCCCAGGTCAGGACAAGGATTTGGAACCACTAGTGCATCATTTGGGACAACTAGAGTGGCATTGTTCGTGCCCTCACAGATAAATGCTGCACTATCACCTTTCATTGGATCACGCTCACTCCATTCTGTCCATTGACACTTCTTCTGAGCAGCTTTTTGAGATCCTCATGTTTGAGTCTCCTCAGGACGGTCACTGACTATCACATGAGCAGATGAAAGCTTTATAGTCTCGAGTCAAACAAGCTCAAACTATTGATCAAGCTGCTAACTCATGTCATGGCCACTTCTACTTCAATCAAAGATTTTCGTTGCGTGAAAAACTCACGTTTTATAAGACAAAACACTGCCATTTTACTGGTATATTTACATATTTTAATGAGCAAAAGTCATTTATTAGGACATTGAGACAAGACTTTAGAAACCTTCCCCTCGTTTCACATACAAGGTGAAGATGGTCATGCAGAAAAAGGCATTAATTTGTGCTTTATAAGTACTAATAATCATCCTAATATTATGCATGCTAATAAGCAACTACAGTAATTAATAGTGAGAACTGGACTCTAAACTAAAGTGTTACCCATTTTAGTTTACTTTCAATTGCTTGGTGCAATAAACAATTTTACGTAGTTTTTCTAAGACATATTTGCATAATCTTATGAATGCACTTAAAAACCTGAATCAAATTCATATATTGATAGAGAACTGACTATTAGTCAGACTATCATAAACAACACATGTGTTTACCAGGTTTTGCTCTTGGTTGGGGTCCTACTCCTTGGCTGGTGATGTCTGAGATCTTTCCCACACGAGTGAGGGGAATGGGCAGTGCTCTGTGTGTGCTTACCAACTGGACCTGTGCCTTCATTGTCACCAAGACCTTCCAGAACCTCATGGTGAGCTGACGGTTATGTATTTTCCCCTGAAACGTTCTTGGTTTAATGAACAGGTCTAATACATGATCTCTTTCAGGATGCCATAACTAGTGCAGGGACATTCTGGATGTTCTCAGGAATGTGTGCTCTCAATGTCATATTCACTGCTGTCTTTGTCCCTGAGACCAAGGGCAAAACATTGGAGGAGATTCAAGCCCGTTTTAAAGGGACTCATCAGCGCTAGACATCTTTTCTCCTCGGTGCCAACTCCAAAGTATCGAAGAAACAAACTAGTTGCATTGGCTTGTTAGAATCATCTCATTATGTTTTCAAATTATGTAAATGTTTATAGATCAAAAAATGTGTATATTTGACAATTTGTGACAATTTGTTGTCTTAATGTGATTTGTCATTGAATTGGTGTGATTAGTTGCTGTTTTTGACAAGGTTCAAGAACTTTTAACATGACTTATTTTTATACTGTTGCCACACCTTTGAACATCATGACTTTTGCATTGTGTCTAATTTTGAACTTATTTGCTGGTCACATGACGGTTGTTTTTTGACAAAGGGCTCAATTGAATTTTGCATGAATAACACACAGTTTATATAAGCTTTATTTCCATTAGTTTTCATTGCAATTCCTCTGCATTAAAATAGTAGCTTGGATTACATTTTGAAACTAGTATGTGCACACGTTCTAATTTAAAATGTTACCCGAGTTACTATCTGATCTGATTTGATCGATTTCAAAAATGTTGAGTTTAACTTGAAACTCATTTTTATATTCTGTGGATAATATATTGTTATAAAAGTAAGAATTAAATAATATATGGTTGCACTGGTGACTACATATATTTTTTTTCTGCCCTCACTGCAAAGAAATTGTGCGATAAAACTAATACTTTAGTTCAATGTTCATGGTTACTGAACAACTCTGTCGTTTGCTTCATTCATGAGGTGAGCAAAATTAAACACAGCTCTCAAAAGTGAAGTTGTATTGCTTTGGATTGTGGTACTGAGTGTACACAGTTTGACTTGCTGTTTTGTAATGACAAGGATGAACAATTAAATGCCAAATAATATGATGTGCCAAAGTATGTTTTTTTTTTTTAATTGAAAAATGAATTTTCTAAAATGATTTTTTAAATATACTGATAAATCAGATAAAATGAGCAACTTCAGCATTCTAAGCATTTGTCTATTGCCTTTTTTACATTTATTCATTTTATTATATATATATATATATATTTTTGCTGGCGCTTTTATCCAAAGCGACTACAATTGTTATTTATGTCAGAGGTTGAGTTGAGTGTCTTGCTCAGGGACACATTGGGGTCTCACAGTGGATTCGAACCTAGGTCTCTCACACCAAAGGCATGTGCCTCATCAGTTCACCCCAAAATGGAAATTCTGTCAGTAATTACTCTCCCTCGTGATGTTCCAACCCCGTAAGACTTTTGTTCATCTTCGGAACTCAAATTGAGATATTTTTGATTAAATGTGAGAGCTGTCTCACTCCTCCATAGGCTTTTGAGGGATCTAAACTTGCCGGTGTTCTGTCGATTTGTCCTACCTTGTCAGATTTTCCTACCGTAGCGCAAAATTATAGCCATATCGGTTCATCCTACCTCGTAAAATCCTACAGAGCGTTTCTGCTTCGCGTCTGTGACTAAGTTACATAAAATATTTCTGTGTAACTTTGCCGAATTTTCTTATTAGGCCATGTTACGGTGATTTTACAAGTAACGTTACCTCTTCAGATTGTCCTATGAAATAAACGATAGGATGATTTTACGTTGCAAAATACCTCATCAGATTGTGCTACCCGTATGAAATAAACGAGTAGTATGATTTTACAGTGCAAAATGCCTCATCAGATTGTCCTACCAGTATGAAATAAACGAGTAGAATGATTTTATGTTAATGTTTTTATGAAAAAAATGCTAAAATGAATTTGCTTTGTATGAATGTGAGAGTAAACAGTTCTCATTACTGCTATATATCTTTGTATAGTAATAATTGACAAAAATAGTGAAAAACTTACCTCAGATTAATAAGATCTCGGGCAAGTAAATTATGGGCGTGTTGTTCAGCGTGACAAAAAATGACGTATTATTGATGTGCGCATGCGCAGTAAGCCTTGGTAGGACAATCTGACGGGTAGGATGGAATGTCAGAACACCGGCCCAGAAAAGTTCAAATAGTACGAGTGAGTGGCTCAATCTTAAAGGACAACTCCGGCGCAAAATGAACCTTTGGTCTAATTACACATTTCTACCTAGTCAACCGTTATCTGAGATTTGTTTTCATGATTGCCGAATGTAAATAGTTTTATCTCTAAAAACAGTTTAGCCTATAACGCTAGTATAATGCTAGTATATAGGGCATAGAGTAATGACAAATAAAAATCGCTTGTTATTACCACTAACAAGGCTCAAAATAGCCCCGCACTAACACGACAGCATAATAAGTGTCCCTACATTCGAACCGAAGCATTGAGAACTTTGTCAGTGTCCATACAGTTTAATAAGAAGATATTTTATACATACAGTCAACTTCGCGAATACAGGAAGAAGCCATCTTTGAAAAATAGTCTCTATCAGTCGATCTACGATCCAAGTGCGCTGAACTGTGCAGAATATCATCCGTTGTTTTCTGAAGAAACACAAACACGAACCGTTTTCTTCTCTTCAATATGTACATGTGGACTACTGTTCGCACTCAACTTATCACCTTATTTACATCTCACCAGCGCACTTGGATCGGCGTTCATATATCGACTGGTAGAGACTATTTTTCAATGATGGCTTCTTCCTGTATTCGCGAACTTTACTGTGTGTATAAAATATATTCTTATTAACCCTACAGTCTATGTTATTAACCTGTATGGACACTGACAACGTTCTCAATGCTTTGAATGTAGGGATCCTTATTGTGCTGTCGTGTTACTGTGGGGCTATTTTGAGCCTTGTTAGTGGTAATAACAAGCGATTTTTATTTATTACTCTATGCCCTATATACTAGCATTTTACTAGCGTTATAGGCTAAACTGTTTTTAGAGATAAAACTATTTACATTCGGCAATCAAACCCCCATTTTTCATTTGGGTGAAAAGGGATGACCTATCCTTTTAAGGTAATGTGAATAATGTAATCAGATTACTTTTTCAAGGCCTTTTGTTTATTGCTTAAGTATGAGAGTTGAACTTTCTTCCCCTGCGTCCTATTCTTAAGCATTTTCTTTTTCCTGTCCCCTCTACTTTATAGGCAATTAGCATTTCCTTCAGCCTGAGGCTTATTCATTTCACTTGGTATGAAGGCCTTTAGATTTCAAGTATGGGTATCTGCAAGTCAGAGCTTGGGGGAATTCCAAAAGCCCTTCACAGTTGGTTTAATAAGCTGCATGTTACAAGATGTCCTTGCTGTGTCCTGTATCAACGTACTAAGACATAGCCTACTAGATTTAATCCAATGCATAGTGGTTATTGTTTAGGGTGTGGGTATGGTTTGGGTTAGTTTCTGTTGTGTAACTTCTGGCACATCCCTACCTTTCAGCAGTGCCATTATGACCTGCAGTCATCCCTGTCCAAAACATTTTTTTTTAAAACATACGAGCAAGCTTATAGCCCAGGTGAGCAAAAGTAATGCAACACATTACTTTCCAATTTTTTTTTATTTTTTTTATTTTTTTTAGGGAGTGATTCAATATTGCAATGCATTACTTTAAAACCAACTTTCCCCAATACTGGTTAATTTAATAACCAGTTGCTCTATTTCGTTTTAAATTATCCTTATGGAAATAGATGCATCTTGTCTGAAGATGCTGAATAATGGCATATGTCATGAGAGATGTAATCTGAAAATGGTCAAATTAAGAGGAAAATGTGTATCTGATATGCTACTGTAAGGATATTAAGGACCTCAGATAACTGGACTGTGATAAATGAATATGCATAATAAGAAGAGTTATATCTAACTAATTGAAGAACAATGAGATGCGAAGCACCAATTAATGTGTGTCTCATTCTTCTCATGTGGGCCCGCAAGAAAAGTATCTGAAGCAGTACAGGCGAAACAACAGAGCAAAGATTGTGGAAAAACTATTAAATTCATTTTTCTTACTGCTATAACATGGTGCAAGGATTCATTCAACTACAATATGAAATAGACAGTAATGACATAAACATAAATACTAGATAGAGAATTATTCATTAAATCAAAAGTTAGATTTCCCAAGTTATGATGGACCACCCCTTGCTACAACCAGAACTCCCTGACAGTCAGTCAGAAAGGCGTCTTTTTTTTTTATTTATACAGTTCCAGTTATTTGTGGTTCCTATTTGACATTTCATGTATAGTGATGTTCATTAATGATCCATCATAGCTTATGTGGTCTCATGATGTTTTATCAACAAACTTCGGGAGGAGCACGTTCAGGTAATCTACCCAATCAGCACGTGAGGAGGCCTACATATGAAACCGACTTACCCACAACATGTTTTCGAGATGGTCCTCACTGCAGAACATGAAATCCACATATTACATATCCTAAACCAACCCATCTCCACCCCCTGATCCCTAACCCCACCCCTAATCCTACCCATCTCCACCCCCTGATCCCTAACCCCACCCCTAATCCTACCCATCTCCACCCCCTGATCCCTAACCCCACCCCTAATCCCACCCATCTCCACCCCTGATCCCTAACCCCACCCCTAATCCTACCCATCTCCACCCTCTGATCCCTAACCCCACCCCTAATCCTACTCATCTCCACCCCCTGATTCTTAAACCCACCCCTAATCCTACCCATCTCCACCCCCTGATCCCTAACCCCACCCCTAATCCTACCCATCTCCACCCCCTGATCCCTAACCCCACCCCTAATCCTACCCATCTCCACCCCCTGATCCCTAACCCCACCCCTAATCCTACCCATCTCCACCCTCTGATCCCTAACCCCACCCCTAATCCTACCCATCTCCACCCCCTGATCCCTAACCCCCACCCCTAATTCCTACCCATCTCCACCCCCTGATCCCTAACCCCCACCCCTAATCCTACCCATCTCCACCCCCTGATCCCTAACCCCCACCCCTAATCCTACCCATCTCCACCCCCTGATCCCTAACCCCAGGGGCGATTCTAGGATTTTTTCAACTGGGGGGCACAAGAGGGGCCACAATTATTACAGAGGGGCCATTCTTATGTTGTGTATTTTTGTAGAACTGTATCCAAATCATTTCAAGTTCAGTAAGCTTTAAAATCAGCAATAAACATTGATACCCTGCTATCTTTTAATAGCAGTTATTTACTGCTCTAAATCAAAACAATAAAATACAATTTAAATTAACTTTTCACTATACAAAAGTGATAGAAAAACTGTAATAAATAAAATAATCCAATGTATTAGTGTCCAACTCACAAATAATAATAGAACAGCCTTATTTATATTAATGCATAATTATATTAATCATTCATATAATAAACACACAATTAATGAATTCATATAACTGTAATAAAATTGTATACAATACATATTTTCCCCCACATTCAATTTGCATTTCAGCAGTTGCAGTAAATTTGCATTGATGAATAGACCAAATCTGCTTATTTCAAGGAAGGCTAATTAGTCTTGAGCATATTGATTGTAAAATATCATATATAAATACTTTGTTAGATAGCTACTTTTTCAAAAAGGTATGCTTTAGTTTATTGTAAAATATGTGGATCATAGAAACAGTTTAGAATGACTTAATTAATCCAGTGTTATTTTAGTATTAATTATTTATTTTGCTATTTAATTATGCATTTTTACTCATTTATGATTTTTTTTTTTTTTTTTTTTTTTTTTTTTGAGAATGTTTCTGGATGCAGGGATTAAATTGACAAAAAATTCTTCTGACTGAATTTTATTTTTCAGGGCAATTCATATTCCTGTAACTTTATTTAAATAATCGAGACCAATAGCGTTTTAAGGGGAGATGTTTTAAACCGATCTAATATTGCCAGTTTGCGTAATTTAAAAGTTATTTTAATCTATGAAAAGCAATTACTTAGGCTATCTTGACAAATTGGCCTAATCAACCATCTACAACTTTTCAGTGCATGT